TCAAGGCTCAGGGAGCTGTGAAGGAGAAGAGGCCAAAAGATTGTGGGAGCTAGGGTGGTGCGTGACTCCAAGGAACCAGTGTCTTCCAGACGCAACAGGGGACAGGTGACCTTACAGAGACTGGCAGCACACGCGGGGACCCACACACCCTTAAACCAGGCAGGACCCGAGTTCCTCCCCTAACCAAAAGGCTGTTTGTAATCTATAGCTGCTGGAAGAGGAAACAATCAGTGCTTTCCAGTGGAGAGTCACTGTGTTTTTCACCCACAGCCCAGGGCAGGGCCCATGATTTTTTTTGTGAGCATTTTGTTTTGGCATTCTGTATTTTTGTTTAAGTTTGTGCGTTTTGGTTTTCATTTTTTTTTTTTTTTTGCTTGGGGAGACGTTGGAAGGGCACAGAGAAAATGAATTTTGGTGGGTAGACAGATGGGGATGATCTGTGAGGAGTTGGGGGAAGAGAAAGAATATGATCAAAATATAATGAACGTTTTATTAAACATTAAAACAACATTGTGTATATGTATATAAATATAATTATATATCAGTTATATTTCAATAAAGTATCATAATAAGTTTGTTTGTTTGTTGAGTCAGGGTCTGGCTATGTAGCTTTAGCTGGCTTGGAACCCACTATGCTGGATTCAGACTCAGAATTCTGCCTGCCTACCTTTGTTTCCTAAGTGTTGGGACTAGAGGTATGTACCTCCAAGCCTGTCTTGGTAGTTTCTAAAAAGTCTTTGAGGACAGCCAGAGCTCCATATCTCATATAAAACAAAACAAAAATAACAAACCTTTAGGGCTAGCCAGGAGTGGTGGCTTACATCTGTAGCCTCAACGCTTGGAAATCTGAGGTAAGAGGGCTCCGTGAGCTCATGGCCCGCAAGGTCTACATAGCAAGTTCCACGCCAGCCAGAGCTACACAGTGAGACCTCGTCTCAAAATACAGAAAAATAAAGGAAAAACCAAGGCCACTGAGTTGGCTTGCTGGATGGCAGAGTTTGCCACGTGAACCTGATGGCCTGAGTTTGATACCCAGAATTCACAGTGAAAGGAGAGAGTCGTCCTTCCGCATACTAATAGTAAATGAAATGTTAAAAAAAAAAAACAACTGGCTAGGCGTTGGTGGTGCATGCCTTTAATCCCAGCACTTAGGAGGCAGAGGCAGGCGGATCTCTGTGAGTTCGAGGCCAGCCTGGTCTACACATCGAGTTCCAGGACAGCCTCCAAAACAATACAGAGAAACCCTGTCTCGAAAACAAACAAACAAACAAACAAAAAACAACTGCATAAATTAAAAACAGAACCAAGTCTGTTGGTGCCGAGTTCAATGATTCCAGCAGAGACAAACGGAAAACAAGATAAACTCACCAGACACAAGCCATCATCTCGAGTTAGGGCAGGGCGATTATCTCAAATAAGCTTAGCCAAAGGGGGCTCTCCCCTAAATTCCACGCCTGGAAAAGGAAGACTGGGAGAAAAGCAGCTTCAACGGTGGGCCTGATTTGCTCTCTGAGTACAAACTACTTTATGTGAGCGTTTCGCGTGCGTGTGTTTCTGCACACCACGTGTGTGCCTGGCCAAAAGCCCTTGTCTGGCCTCCTGGAATTAGACTTGTGGAGGGTTTTGGTATGCTGTGCATGGACACTGGGAATCAAACCGGGGTCCTCCGTGAGAACAAGCCGTCTTCACTGCTGAGCCATCTCTCCAGCCCCTGAATGCAAAAACCTTACTAGCATTTGTTACATGAAACTTTTCTGGCAGCAATCCGAACACAATGGCTGTTCACCCCACGCAGGGCCCTGGCATGGGATCAAAGTCACGGCCCCACAAAGTCCACCTTGGTGGGCCAATAAGTTCACTGAAGCTACTTGCAGGAATATAGGTTAGGGGTTACTTACAGGAACACGTGAGTGGCTCAAAGCTCACCCCAGCATGGCTTGTAAGTAGTTGGCAGGTCAGACTCTCCTTGGGACTCTACAGATGGGCGAGCCTACTTTCCCTAGCTTCTATAACCTGGGACGGGGGGCGAGGGGGAGGTAGAGGTGGGGTGAGGTGGGGTTGCTATGAAGCTTGTGAGTTTCAGCGTTCTTAAACCTGGAGGTTTGATGACTTCCTGAGTCTCAGGACCACCTTCCTCCCTCCAGGAAGGAGTGTTTCAATTGGAGGAAATAACCACACCACCATACCCAAAGGTTTCTGGGTAAAACGTTGAAATTGAATGTTCTTGACATCTGATTCTTTGAGACTTATTTCCCTTAGGACACTGGGGTCTCCACTTGCGCACCCCCCCCAAAACAATACTAATACGAGCAAGATGCTAACGGTGATGGGACCTGGCAGAAAATACCCAGCCTCCCATCCTCGGACCTGGCTCCGTTTCTCCTGTGAGTCAGGAGAGGCAGGAGGAAGCTCACAGGAAAACTGAGCCGGACACTCAGGCCAAGCTCTTTCCTTTGGAGTGGAGCCTTTCAAAACGCACGGGATGGAACATTCATGAAGTCAAGAGAGAAAGACATGTCAAGGATTTAGAGGGAGCCAGGTGTGGGTGGCTCATGACTTTAATCCCAGCACTCGGGAGGCAGAGGCAGGTGGATCTCTGAGTTCTAGGCCAGCCTGGTCTACAGAGCGAGTTCCAGGACAGCCAGGGTCTACCTAGAGAAACCTTTTCTCTAAATGCTCCCTCAAAAAAATTTACTTAGAGGAACTCTGGAGGGTTGTGGTTATTTTCCTCCAAATCTAAATCTGTTTCTCTCCCTTTCCCCTTTTCTTCTGGGTCATGGTCATGGTCTTTCCCGCAGTTCTGAGATTCTAGACTGTGTCCCTTTGGTCGCTGATGCCCCTTTGAGGAGCAGGAGATGAAATTAACACTTGTGCTTCTTCTGGAAGCCAGGTTTTGGTGGTGCATGCTATGAACGAGCCTTGGCCAGAGGCTACTGCAGAGACTCGGGCCAACACACCTGGTCCGTAAAACAGAGCAGTTTTTAACTTTCAGTGATGCCTCATTTCAACCATGCCAAAGAACTTGAGTTTGGAGTGTTAGCTTCCAGTGGAACCTTGATGCCAAGACCGATAAAAATTGGCTAGCAAACTTGGCAGAATTTCTCAGTCAACCATCTGCCTAGGAATGACCTTGCTACCAAGTCCAATACCGAAAACCACCCCGGGGGTACAAGTCAGCAGTGGGACCCTTGGGGGGCGAGGTCAGGGAAGCTCATTGTGGGAGCCTTCAAACTGGAGACACTTCCACCCGGAAGGGATGGCCTTTGCTTCTCGCTCCCCACAAAAAGCATGCTTCCGGGGCGCGCTTTGTTTCTTGGGAATCTGGGGTGAGAAACTCTAAAGAATGTGTAGCAGGCACAGACCTGTGCGAGCCTTGAGTGAGATGGGTAGGGGTAGGCGGGGCCGGGAAGAGGGCTGCCAACACAAATGTCCTATGGGGACTTGGCAGGTTTGCCAGGAGGCTGACAGGGATGTGCCCTTGTCTAGAGAGGGCTCCTGGTTCCCCCTGGTCTGGGCAGAGGAATCCGGAGTCATGGGAAAAGGGCAGGGGGAAAGGGCTGGCAGGGAAGGACTAGAATACAAAAAGGCCTAGGCTAATGCCAAGGGACTGCTGGGATTTCCCAGGACCTGGGAGGTGAGGGCTGAGAAGCCAGGACACCGCCCCCCACCCAGGGGAAAGGCAGGGGTGAGGTAAATTCACCGCATTTCTACTCAGTTCTTGGTCACTATGCCGGGTAGAAGGGATACTCTGGCGTCCTCGGGGGTCAGGAGGTGAGTATGGAGACCAGTGCTTGAGAATCCCACCCACACCCAATTCTCTGTACCGTCTGCCTGAAGTTTGCGGGCACAGATGACTCTGAGAAGCACTGGAGTTAGGGGCGGCACTTCTGCAGCGATCCACGCTAACTACACTGATGGCCACTGTCTTCCCTGCCTCAGTCACACAGGCGCTGAGGTCAACTCGCACTTCAGAGTCTCAGTTTAACTCTCCCACCTTTTCTAAGTCCCCGGCTGGGTGACTGTGTTTCCAGAAAGAGCTGCCCGCTCGTCCTTATTGTGTAACACACCACCATCGTGCTGTAATTTCTGGCTCCTATCTCCATCTCCCTAACCATCTGCATTCCTGGAACAGGAACTCTTCTTGTCTGTCTGTCATGGCCAAGCCAAAGGCTCTCACTGAGCAGACAGATGCTCACATACCCACAAGGATCACTCCAGCAGTGATTACCCCTCAGGGACCAGGGTCAAGAGAAGCTAGTGCTGTGTCCCTCCTATCCAATGGGAAAGCACTTTGCCACCTCCTATCCACCCTGCCATCTCCCAGGAAGCTGCCAAGGATGGCCCTTTCCAACTGGCAAAGGTGCAAGCTTCCCTTCCTGGAAGGTTTTGGCTGGGGAACTGGCCCTTGCTTCTGAGTTGCTGGGGCCATTCAAGGATGGAGAAGTTGAGTCAGCCCTAGCCTTGGTACCGTTTCCCAAAGCTTCTGTCGTCCACTTCTTATCTCCCCCAAGAACATCTGGCAGGGACCAGATTTCTCCAATCCTGGGTCAAGATGAGGAGTGGGATTAGCTAATGCCTCTGGTCACACGGCCACCTTTAGCTCCACCTACTCAACACAAAGCTACAGCCCACCACACTGAAACAGAACACGCCTAGACCTGGTATGAAGAATGTCTGCTGTTTTTTTTTGTTGTTGTTGTTTTTAGACAGGGTTTTCTCTGGCTGTCCTGGAATTCACTCTGTAGACCAGGCTGGCTTCAAACTCGCAGAGACCCGCCTGCTTCTGCCTCTAGAGTGCTGGGATTAAAGGCGTGCGCCACCACGCGCTGACTAGCAGTACCCGCTGAACATGTCAATGGTCAGTCCCCAGCACCAACACGCATGCACAGGCGCACACACACATCTGTAAAGCGCATCTGAAGAAAACCTCAACCCCTTTCTTAGGCAAGAATGGCTACTTCACAGCCCTTCCCACAGCCCAGAAAAGCACACAATCGACATCAGTTTATTTTACCTTTACTTTTTCCTGAAGGATATACACCACATATCCCATGGGCAATAAAGCGCATTCAATGTGTTTATAAGCCAAACAAGTCACTTTGTTTAAGCAAACACGAGTACAAAGTAAAATAAAACCACAAAATAATGAACTTCATGTTCATAACATACAAAAATTGCCGCCTACTCAGTAGGTAACTACAACATTCCAACTCCTGAATATATGTATAAATTTACATTTTCAGTTAAAAAAATAGACTTTTGAGAGTTCAGGTTTTGTTTTAAAATTTTTCTTCTTACATTCTGGAGAACCAAAGCTCAGCTCAGCCCTCTTCCTCATTCCTCTCTCAAAGCCTCCCCCGAAACATCACTCCTACCCCTTTAAGGCCAGAGGTGAGCATGTCCCTCACAATTGCACATGTCAGGCCATCGGCAAGGCTTGTCACACAAAAGGCACCAAGACGTGAAACTTTTTAAAACTAAAGGGACGGGCAAAAAAAATTTTGTTTTTCAAAAAAAGAAAAAAAAACCAGAAACCAAACAAACCATACTTTGTCACATGTGAGAGTACAGTCGAGCAGTATTTACAAAAAAAGTTAACGGAACACTCTGACACATGCTGTGGTTAATACCTAGGACAGACAGCTGCTTCAAAAGATGCGCCACACACATCGTCACAGCAGCCATCGCGAAGTTAAGAGGGTCACCACTGGTTTGCCTGGCTTTGCTCCCCCCCTTCCCGCCCCCCCCAAAGTGAGGATGGAACTCCAAATAACACAACAGGGTACGCAGAATTATCTTCACATCGAGGATACCCCCCCCAAGGAAAACAAAATCCATGGCACGGACACTGTACAAAAGTTAACAGGGTAGGGTCCTGGGGGCCCAAACCCATTTTTTTTTTTTTGCCAACTCGATGCCGTAGCACTTAAGGGAGAGCAAGGGTCAGGCATATGGATGGAGAAGATACTGAAATGATTATATCCAATACCCATGCAAATCAAGTTCTTTGGACGGAGGTTGAAGAACTCGGACACGGCTGTCTTCAGGCAGCTGAAGTCAAAGGGAACGGGAACACGGGGAGGCAGGGACGGTCAGCGAAAGGACCCCGCCGGCCAACTGGGCCTTCTCTTGACTAGAGGAAGGTCTTGGCTCTGACCTAAGAGGAGCCCCTTCTGGGGACCATCTCCCTCCTGTCCGTTATTGTCTTTTCCTGTGTGTGTCTGTTTTCTGGCCCCTCCCCTTTGCTTGCTTCCCCTTTAGCAAATTTCAATTGTCCTGGGAGAAAAGGTTGCTGCCATGTCCGAAAGCCCAGCGGAGGTGCTGAAGGAGTTAGTGACAGCCACAGACGGGAAGCTGCTGACCTGGGGCGGGAAAGCCGTCGCAACCGAGGCATAGGTGGTGGCCACCGAGGGCGAGGGGAAGCCACTGTGCGCGGGAGACGGGTAGGTCGAGGAGCCGGGGGAGGAGTAGGAGGTGGGCGCGGGGGATGGGAACGAGGTGGGCGCCGCCGGGGATGGGTAAGAGGTAGCCGCGGGGGATGGGTAGGAGGAGAGGGAGGAGGTGGCCGGAGGGGCCGCGACACTTTTGTCTGCTTTCTTGTCCTTCTGTCGCAAGTGGATTTTGGTGTGCCTCTTGCGTTCGTCACTCCTGGCGAACTTTCTCCCGCAAATGTCGCAGGCAAAGGGCTTCTCGCCTGTGTGGGTGCGGATGTGGGTGGTGAGGTGGTCGCTGCGGCTGAAGTTGCGCATGCAGATCCGGCACTGGAAGGGCTTCTGGCCCGTGTGGATGCGGATGTGGCGCGTGAGCTCGTCGGAGCGAGAAAAGCGGCGGTCGCAGGATTCCACGGGGCAGGCGTAGGGACGTTCGTGGGGGGGCGTCTTGCTGGGCCGGTTCGGGTACTTGCGCATACGGCTGGGTTTGATGAGCTGGGACTGGTAGGTGCTGTTCAGAGCCTTCAAGTCCTGGGATCCCGACTGAGTGGCGAAGGCTTTGATAGTGGACAGCGGAGTAAGCGAGGGCTGCTGGGTACGGCTCTCCAGACCCTGGAAGGGCTTCTGGTCTGGGGTGCCCAGGCCCAGGTCTCCCTGCTGTTGGGGGAACAGATAGTCAGGGATCATGGGGACCTGGAAGCCACCCTTGGCGGCGGGGTAGGCAGGAGGCGGGTACTGTAGGGCAGTGCCTGCTGAGCCGGGAAACGCCTGGCTTTGGGGCTCCGGGAAAACGTCAGTGTTGGGAGTGGGGAAGGTCGGGGCGGCTGAGTAGATGGGGCTGCTGTCGTTGGACGGCACAGCGCAGCTCAGGGGTGGGCTCTGGGAGGCGGAGGACGACGTTGAGGCCGCGGGAGAGGGCGCCGAGGATGAAGGAGCCGGAGGATTGGTCATGCTCACGAGGCCACTGACTATGCTGAAAAGGGGCTCAGGCCACAGAGTGTTGCCGCTGTTGGGTGCAGGCTCCAGGGAGAAGCGGCCGGTATAGGTGATGGGCGGCAGCCGAGTAGTCTGGCTGGGGTAACTCGTCTCCGCCATCGCCTTCTCGTTATTCAGAGCGATGTCAGAAAATGACTCTGGCAGGAAAGAGAGGAGAGAGAGGCCTGGTTACTGGAGAGCAATCACTGGGCGACGAGAACCGAAGCGGCCAGGCAGGAGGTCGCCCGGCTACCTCTGACTCCCGGGGTGGTTAATAATTGATAGCGGCAGATTGCAATGTCCCTGGACCCGCTCCAGTGGCAGAGCCCATTTCGACAGCTGACGCAAACAGAGAATCCCCCCTCTACTGCAGCTGGGAGCGCGCTCTCCGCAGCGAGGCTGCGCGGGCGAGGGAATCCCGCCAGCAATCCTAGTGGCCGCAGCTAATGCGCGCCCCCTACCCTGGGCGACGGGGACATCCCCGTTCCAGACTCCAGCCCTTCCTCGGGGACTAGGGGCCAGCCACGCAGTGCCGCTCGCGCGGGGGAGGGGGCAACCCTGCTCATCAAAACAAACCCTCCCTCCTCCAGCCGCCCACGCAGCTCGAGCTCTCGCCATCCAAAACAAACGCTCCGCGCACCCCAAGGATGGCGCGCGAGGGAGGGGGGACCCCAGACATCCCTCTAGCACGAGACCCCGCAGCTGTGCGGGACAGAGGAGAACCCCCAGTGCCATCCCTAAGGTCTCGGCGCGGGTCCCCGCAGCAAGGGTTTGGGCATCAGGGTCTTCGTGCTGGGCGCAGACCGCCGCTTACCTGTGGTCAGGTGCTCGTAGGGCTGCTCTGCCGGTTCCCCCTGAGGATTGAAGGCGCCGCTGCCGCTGCTGCTGCTGCCCCCACCACCGCCCCCGCTGCTGCTGCTGTTGCTGCCGCCGCTGCTGCCCTCTGGGGCTCCGGCAGCGCCGAGGAACTGGGGAGCCCCGTTGCTCAGCAGCATCATCTCCTCCAGCTTGGGGTAGTTGTCCATGGTGGGTGAGTGCGGGAAGGAGCCGAATGGGTCAGAGATCTGCAGCGGGGACATCAGCTGCATCTCGGCCTTGGCCGCTGCCATCCCGGACGAGCGAGCTGGGGAGCTGACGTGGGGCGGAGGGCGCAGCCCGGGGCCGAGGCTACTGAGGGCGCACTCGCCGGGGGCCGGCCGGCTTCACATGCGGGGCGCAGGGCACACAAAGCCCCCCAGGCTGGCGGCGGCCGCGGCCCGAGGCGGACGCAGGGCTGCGGCGGAGGCCGGGGTAGGGGCCGATCTTGCGGCGGCGGAAGCTGGCGGCGGATCGCGGCGGCGGCGGCAGCTCCCCGAGTTGTGCGCGCTGGGATCTCTCGCGGCTCCCCGAATCGGCCTCTATTTCAAGGGTCTGGAGCGGCGCGGGCCCGCCTCCGCCGTGACGTACATGGCCATATATGGGGAGCAGGAAGCCCTAATATGGAAGGACCGGCCGGGAGGACCCGGAGTGACGCGAAGCACCCCCAGTCCGAGAGCGGGGGGCGCCCGCGCCCTGAGACCCGCGCCGGCACCTGGAGCACTCAGGCTCCGGGGAAGCCGAGCATTGGAGCGACAGCGGCGGCCTCCGGAGCCCCGCGCCTGGAGTTCCCAGGCCGCCCCCGCCCCAGCCCCCCTCGCCCCTCCTCCCGGAGCCGGAAGCTGCCGGGCCATATCGGGGCGCTCCATATAAGGCGCTGCCCAAATAAGGTCTGTTCCGGCGGGGGATCCTTCCTGCTCCTTATATGGCGTTTCCGGGTCGGCGCTCCCGCTCCCCCCCGGTTCCCAGCCGGGAGCCCGATCGCGCGCAGGAGCCGGGGACGCCCGCGTGGGGAGGGCGCCGGGCGCGCGGCGGCTCCGACGGCCCCCGGGAGCGAGCGAGCCCGGCTGGGGAAGCCCAGGCCGGGCGCGGGGGCGAGGGCGAGCCAGGCCGCGGTTCTACCGCCGTCCCGCTGGGCTCCCCCGCCCACCTCGGGGACCGTGGGAGCGAGCCTGCCGAGAGGAGGAGCGGCGGGGCCGGGCTGGGGCAGAGGCCGCCCAGGAGAGGCGGGGCCCTGACCCAGGCCGCCACTAAGGGCAGGGTCACTTTCCAGGTGTCACCGGGAAAACGGGGACCAAGCTGGCCTCTGGTTCTGCAGACGCTGCCTTGTAGCCGGGCGCGTCCTCGGCCACCCGTCAGTGGTTTGGGGGTGTCCGGACCTGGGGCGCCCGGTGCACCAGCCACACTGGAAAGGCCATTCATTCCCGGGTCCCTGACGTTGGAGACGGCACCTTTGGGGACCTGGACTGCAGACCCTGGTTGCCCCAGGGCAGTCCGGGGTCCCTTCCAGGGGCTGTGGGTTCCTGGGGTGGCTGGGCACTTGCAGACCGTACTCAGTCCGGGGACCGCTCTAGAGTGGACTTCCCTTGGGGTTGCCAGGCGACCCCGGGGCTGGCAGTACCGAGGACGCGCTTGCCACTCGGTGCTGCCCTCTGGAGGCCTCTTCGGCCGCGTTCCCGGGGCCCCAGGCGGGGAGGGCTCTTCCGCCGCCCCCACGCTCCCCTCCCGTTCCCTGTGCTGGGCGCAGAGCCAGGCCGGGGGAGCCTAAGACGCAGTGAGCCAGCACTGAGCAGGCGCGGAGGCCTGGGCCTTCCCCGCAGCCCCGAGGGAACCGCCACTGCCAAGGCGCCCAGACTCCGGGCTAACACTTCCCTCCCGGAGCCAGGCCAAGGGCAGGGAACGCGGGGAGGCGATGGTGGAGTGATCCCCGCAGGTCTCCTGGGGCCCTGACGCCAGCCGTGAAGCCCTCCTCCCCCGACCCCAAAGGGAGAAGGGATCCCAGGAAGGGAAGGAAGGCTCTTGTCGCTTCCAAATTTGAATCCAGGGAAGGTGCTGTTTCTTCATTTATTTGTTTATTTATTTATTTTATTTAAATGATGCCCTGTGGAAGGAGAGTGAGAGACGGAGAAGGAAAGTCCTGATCATCAAGGTTTAACGTGGTGGAGGGGGTTCCTCTTAGGCATTCTCCCCCCCCCCCCTCTCTGACACCCCACCCCCATCCGGTTTTATAAAAAAAAAAGCAGCTTAAGGAATCCAGCAACGAACCAGGGTTTCCTTGTGTTTAAACTCACTGTCTTAAGTTCTTCGGCCAAGTGTTAAGTTGTTCACTTAGGGGCCATAAGTGGTGCCTTCCCATAGCCTTCCGGGAAAGCCAGGCAGCATCAGTTACTTCCTGTGTGAGAGTGACCTCCCTTTGCCAGTCTGTTGGGGTTCTCTGGCCAAACTTTCTTTTTTTTTTTGTTTTGTTTTTGAGACAGGGTTTCTCTGTGGCTTTCGAGACTGTCCTGGAACTAGCTCTTGTAGACCAGGCTGGCCTCAAACTCACAGAGATCCGCCTGCCTCTGCCTCCCAAGTGCTGGGATTAAAGGCGTGCGCCACCAACGCCCGGCTCTCTGGCCAAACTTTCTGTGTCTCACTTTCTCTCTAGTTGTAAAATAAGGCTACCGTTAACGATGTTCATGTGGAAGGATTGCTTCACTGACTGAAATTTACACAGCCTGCTACCTGTGGCTACCAAATACAGTCAGCTGGGGTTGAATAAGCGGAGGTTATTGTTACTTTTGCCTACCCAACCTCACTCAACCTCCAATAAAACCCAGATTGGGGCTGGGAAAGTAACTCAGTTTGTAGAGAGTTTAGCGTGCAGAAAAACCTTGGTTCTAGTTTGGACCAGCCCCGTGTTGATGATAATCCCAATGCTTAGGAAGTTCAGGTGGGAGCATGACGCTTTCGAGGAGGCCATCCTGGGCTACTTGGCGCTTTTGAGGCTAACTTGGGATACTTGAGACTCCATCCTTAAAACAAAAGAGAGGAGAAAAATGAAGCAGCAACAAAATTGTGCAGAGAAAAAAAATCATTCCAATCCCAACACAAGAGACGCTGTCCCCTAATGCCTAATGTGTATCCCTTTAACAAAACAAACCTAATTATTTTATGCATATGGGTGCTTTGCCTATGTATGTAAGTGCACTGTCTCTGTGCACCGCCCATGGAGTCTAAAAGAAGGCACCAGATCCGCTAAAACTGTGGTTACAGATGGTTGTGAGCCTCCATTTGGTTGCTAGGATCCAAACCAGGGTCCTCTCTGCAAGAGGAGCCTGTGCTCTTAACCACCAGCCTGTTTCCCAGCTCCCAATGTGTACCCTCCCTGCCAAGGAAGAGCATCTTTTCCTAGAGCAGAAAACCATCAGCCTTGCTGGACAGCAGAATCACCTGGGGGCTCTGGGAAAAAAAAGCTTGAATGGAACTGAGAAGGCAGCCAAGGACCCTTGTCCTATGCCTGGAGCATTCCTTAGACTGTGGGACACACAACCACACGCACACGCACACGCACGCACACGCACGCACGCACACGCACGCACGGCCCAGTGCCAGGACAAAGCAGGTGTCCCCGTGCGTCTAATGTGCAAGTCCGGCTGAGACACCTGAATGTCTGCCTCTTTTGTGTGTCCAGCCCTGGTTATTTTTAGAATATTCCTCAGCCAGCAATTTCTCCCCAGGAGCTGCCACCACTCCGGAGATTGTGTGTGTGTGTGTGTGTGGTGGTGGTGGTGGAGATAACTCCAACCCTAAATCTAAGTGTAAATCTAAGTGTAAGCCAGGCCTGGCCATCCATATAGGATCCTCTGACCTAGAAGCTTTGTTTCCTATGGTGACTGAATTGAGATGGACACATGACCCCAAAACCAGGCCAATGAAGATAGCTTCTGGGGACTTTCCCTTGGACTTCTTCTCTGGCAGCCACAAACCCTGGAGTGTGAGCCCGGAATCTGCTTTGCCTTGAGGAGGGGATTCTGCTTGAGATCGAAGCCAGAGGGAGGAAGGCAGAGGAAAGGGTGAGTCTTTGGATTCTGTCTTGGCTCGGCAGCTGCACAGGTCAGTGCCCTCCCTTCTCATTATGAAGCCAAGCATCCACGGTCCTTTTTCGGCTGCTACTTTAGCACGAGAGATTCCAACCAGCACACCCTTCTCACCTGCGGCTCCAGGCTTCTCTGGGAAGCTGTGTGGGAGAGGCCTGTGGTGTAGCCCCACCTCCTCTGAGGAGTACACAGTGCGCAGAAGCAAGCCTGGAGGCTCCTCTAACAGGAGAGGACGGGAAGCGTTCCCGGAGCCATCAAGTGATGGAGAGGGTCTTGTAACGCGGCGACCCTAGCACCTGGGAGACAGAGGTAGGAGGACTGACGAAATTTCAAGTCACTACCCTGGGCTGTGTGAGACTCTTGTCTCAAACCGGGCACACGCCTTTTATTCCTGGCACTCGAGAGGCAGAGGCTGGTGGATCTCTGTTAGTAGATTCCAGGGGCCAGCCTGGTGATTTCCAGAACAGTCAGAGCTGTTACACAAAGAAGCCCTGTCTGGAAAACCAAAACAACAACAACAAAAGACTGTCTCAAAACAACAAAATGCCGGGCTGTTGGTGGCACACGCCTTTAATCCCAGCACTCAGGAGGCAGAGGCAGGCAGATCTTTGTGAGTGTGAAACCAGCCGGGTCTACACACTGAGTTCCTGACCATGCATCAGTGAGGTGGCGAGAACCTCTCTCGAGCTCTCAAAATAAAAAATAAAGCAATGAAGAGGTTGAGGCAGGAAGAATGTCTGACCTGCAGGCCAGCCTGGGCTACAGAATTCAGACCCTGTTTCAAAACAAACAAAAAAGAAATCCACTCCGCATAGGAGGAGGCTGAGGGTAGGGGGTGGCGATTCCAGGAAGACAGATCTCAGGAGGAAAAGGGGTGGGAACGTGATTGGTCCAAGGCCTCAAGCTAAGACACAGATAGGCTAAGAATGCCCAGCACTAAACTGCATCCATCCATTTGCCCACCCATACTCTTTGTTTAGTTTTCTGCTTCATAGACAACAAGGCCTCCTTCACCTTGCCCGGTCTCCTTGGTACAAGGCAATAAAAGGCAGATTCTGCCCAGACCTTAGTACCCTGTAAAGGGCAGCTACTGAGAAGGAAAGGAAGAAAAGGCTGCCACACTCTTAGAGAGAGGACATCTCAGCAACAAGGCCAGGAGCACCCTAGTCAGCCCCACCCTCCAATGATGTCGTTCATTTTATTTTCCGAGACAGGGTTTCTCTGTAGCTCTGGAGCCTGTCCGGGAACTCTCTCTGTAGACCAGGCTGGCCTCGAACCCACAGAGATCCGACTGCCTCTGCCTCCCGAGTGCTGGGGTGGGATTAAAAGCTCGTGCCACCAGCCCCCAGCTTCGCCGTCCTGATCTATAGCCGGAGTGAGGGGCAGGGGGCCCATGACCGGACAGGGGAAAACACCGGTTCCTCCCAAGGAACCGAGTCGAAATTTGGACCTGTGAGGAATATCTCATGTATACCCAGCAACCCTGGAAAAGTGTCCCGAGGCCTACAGGAAGGCGGGCTGCCAGAGAGATGGGCCCCAAGGAATGATCAGGGGTGACCTGGGACTCCAAGGTCTTGCTGGCAGGGTGATTGATAACCGGAGGACCTTGCAGGCCAGAGCTCGGAAAGCAGAGGGGAGGAGGCAGAGGAGAGGCTCCAGCAAAGAGCCAGCGGGCCATCTTGACTCTGTGACCTCACCGGAAGGCCAAGCAGGCTGCAGCGCTCAGGGGAGAGCAAGCCCCTCTCTCCACTGCCACTTCCTTCTTCCAGAGCGCGTCAGCACCCACACGTGCTGCTCAGGCCGTGGTTTGCCACTTGTGTGGCTGGCCCCGGGCTCAGGAAGTGACTCTCTCTCGGTTCTGTCTGGGTTGCCTGTCACACTTTCCGATGGCTGAGGGGCCCCGCACGGAAACCCAGACAACTCGATCTGGAATGCTCTCTGGGTCCAGCTTTGCCGCCACCCATGGGAGGCTCTGAGAGAAGAGGAGAAGCCTGAGGAGGCCACACGGGAGGTGGGGAAACATGGCAGGGGACAGATGGGGAGTCCTAGGAAGAAAAGACCAGCACACGAGAGAGGGCGGTCCCCGGGGTGAGGAGGTGCCTGTCCTCCACCCCGGAGACCTAGGCTAGGCGGGAAGGGCCATGCAGAGTGGTGCCTACCGAGGCCTGAAGCAGATAGGCTGATGGGTGAGGGGGATCCCTGATGGGCTGGGGTGTGGCTTAGTGGCAGAATGTTTGATTCCCAGGTTAAATCCCCCAGCAACACGCATACAGTCACACACTCTTTTTTTTTTTTTTTTTGGTTTTTCGAGACAGGGTTTCTCTGTATTGTTTTGGAGGCTGTCCTGGAACTCGCTCTGTAGACCAGGCTGGCCTCGAACTCACAGAGATCCACCTGCCTCTGCCTCCCGAGTGCTGGGATTAAAGGCGTGCGCCACCAACGCCCGGCCAGTCACACACTCTTACACACCACATCACACACACACACACACACACACACACACGCACACACACACGCACACAGGTAAACAGATGAAGAGAGACTCTCACCCACTCCAAACATGATTCAGGCCTTGTAGAAAAGAGACCGTGGGGGAATTTAGCACCAGGTACAGGGTTGCCTAAGGCAGTTGTGTCCGGGTGGCTTGACTCAAGTCCTGGGTAGGGGTGGGGGTGGCGGGGTGCGGCCTAAGAGGTGATGAGCTAGACAGTTAGGTTAGTCTTAAAACGGAAGCCATTGAGGCAGAGAGAGTTGGAGGGGGTGGCACAGTCTGTCTGTCCTTAAGGAGGTCTGTAGAGGGAGGAGGTATCTGTCCGTCTAGACAGGTTCTGAGGATCTCTCCCGCCCCAGGGTGCCACGCAGAAGCTGAGAGAGGCTGTGGGTCTCCCTGACCTGTGCGGCACAGCCGCTGTCACTGGGCTCAGAGCGCAGCCGCTGTCACTGGGCTCAGAGCACAGCCGCTGTCACTGGGCTCAGAGCACAGCCGCTGTCACTGGGCTCAGAGCACGACCCATTCTGTGGTGTCTTCTCTGCTTTCCCCACCCCCCGGCTGAGTGTGCAGCAAAGCCAGTGGCTGCAGAAATCTCTGGAAGCTCCCTGGGCGGGAGAGGGAGGGGGGTGTTACATAAGAGCCCTACTGATGTGCAGGAAGTCGAAAGCAGCCTTTCGATTCAAAAAGCAGTGTTTCCACCCAGCCCAGAAAAGGCAGGAATAGAAACTGGGTTATTTCTGGCCCCTCACCACCCGCCCAGCGCCAGGATGCTCAGCTTCTTGGTGGGTAAGCATGGGTTCTCTGGCAGGCGGGAGAAGAGGGGGAAGGGGACAGGCACCTTCTGGGGTTACCTGATTCGATTCAGAGCTGTCCCCCTCCCCCTTCCCCCCCCTAACAAACCGGGAAGATGCCAAGGCTGCCGCAGTAGTGCCAGCAAACTTGTTCCTCTGACTTCCCTTAATCTCTGGTGCAGTCCCACGCCCACGCCCTCCCAGCACACGCTTACCGCGGGACAGGCTCTGGGCTAAGTGCTGCTCGGTGTTCGCCTTCACAATGCCTTATGAGGCACGTCTCCTTCTCAGCCCCAGTCCATTGATGGGGAAAGGTGCACAGAGAGCACAGGGAACTCATTCAAGGTCACAGAGCCAAACCAGGATTCTATTCGAGACGGTCTGGCTTCAGAACCCTTTGTCTAAACTGCTGATTATACCAAGATATCTGTTTTTCTGGGTCCCGAAATGAATCTGAGTCTCTGTCTCTCTGTCTCTGTCTCTGCCTCTGCCTCTGCCTCTGCCTCTGTCTCTCTCTCTCTGTCTCTCTCTCTCTCTCTCTCTCTCTCTCTCTCTCTCTGTCTCTTTGTCTCTCTCTCTCTCCACACTCTGCACACAGGTTTTGAGTTAGTTGGAAAGGGAATGACAAGCAAACAGGTGACTTCTATTCATGTCATATTGACTGACCCCAAACACCGTGTCTTTTCTATACTATAAGACGTCTAGGAGACTCCTGCAGCCCTGCTCTTGCTGATCCACAGCCTCCTGGGGACAGACACAAGGAAAAAAAAAAAAAAAAAAAAAAAGAAACAGCAATGACGGGTACGGTGGCCCATGCCTGTCATCCCCACATTTGCGAGGCTGAGGCAGGAGGATCAGGAGCCCAAGGTCATTTTCAGCTCCATAGAGAATTAAGGCTAGTCTGGGCAACTCAGGGCTCCGTTTCCTCCCAGGCCAGGTGCCGTGGGGCACCTTGACCGTGTACAGGTCTTGAAGCCGGCATTGAGCATCCAACCAACTTTTGCTGACTCAAAAATTAAAAAAGACTAAGAAGAGCCGGGCGTTGGTGGCGCACACCTTTAATCCCAGCACTCGGGAGGCAGAGGCAGGCGGATCACTGTGAGTTCGAGACCAGCCTGGTCTACCGAGCGAGTTCCAGGACAGCCTCCAAAGCCACAGAGAAACCCTGTCTCGAAAAACCAAAAAAAAAAAAAAAAAAAAAAAAGAAGAGAAAACAGCAATGGCAGCCGGTACAACACATTTGCTCATGGTGGGGCACAGCTAGTTCCACTTCCTCAAGTGCATCCAAGCTCATCAAAGAGCCAAGTTGCCATAAAAAAAAAAAAGAAAAAAAGAAAAAGCGCAGGATATGACCACACACACACACACACACACACACACACACACACACACACACACACACCTTCCAGGGCTTGGGAGGCAGAGACTAGAGGGTCGCCAAAAATTGGAGGCCAGCTTGGTTTGCAAAGTAAGACCAAAACAAAATATTCTGAATAAACAAAACATAACAAGACAAGAAGAGAGCCAGGTGGTGGTGGTGATGCAACCCTTTAATGGCAGCACTTGGGAGGCAGAAGTAGGCGGATCTTTGAGTTCAAGGCCAGCCTGGTCTACAGAGTGAGTTCCAGGACAGCCAGGGACCACGTAGAGAGACTCTGTCTCTGTACACATAAAGTTTACCATTGTAACCACTTAGTTTATACTTATGATTCAGGGATATTAATTACCATTGTAACCACTTAGTTTATACTTATGATTCAGGGGTATTAATTACATTCACTATCAACACTATCTGCTTCCAGAACTTCTTAATGCTTCCAAACAGAAAGTCCATTCCCATTAAACAACGGCTCTCTGCCCCCTTCTCCAGACTCTTGCTAACCTCTGTGTCTGTGTACCTGACGGCTCTTGGAATGTCATATAAGGCAACCACAGGCTGTGCAGTCTTTGGTGTCTGGTTTATTTCACTTGGCATGATGTTTTCATGGACTGTTCCCTTTCTTCCTTTCTTTCCTTCGTTCTTCCTTTTTCTTCTCTCTCTCTCTCTCTCTCTCTCTCTCTCTCTCTCTCTCTCTTTCTTTCTTTCTTTCTTCTTTTTTGAGATAGGTTTTTTTTTTTATGTGTAGCCCTGGCTGTCCTGGAACTTGCTCTGTAGATCAGGCTGGCCTCAAACTCAGTGATCTGCCTGTCTCTGCCTCCCAAGTGCTGGGATCAAAAGCCTGTGCTATGACACCTGGCTCTCACGGACTGTTCCTATCGAGGCATTCTTGTATGAAGATCAAATCATGCACCATGTCATATATGTTTCACGTTTTGTGTGTCCACTTACCTTAACATGGATGAATGGAGGTTTCCATTGGAATATTATTTCTGTCTTTGTATGTGGATGTTTCGCCTGCATGTATGCCTGTCCACCGTGCTTGTGCCTGGTGCCTGTGGAGGTCAGAAAAGGGCCTCTCAGGTACCCTGGAAATGGAGTTACAGATAGTTGTGAACCATCATGTGAGTGCTAGGGATTGAATTCATGTCCCCTTTGAGAGTGACAGATGCTCTTTTTGTTTTTGGGTCTATTTTCAAGACAGGGTTTCTCTGTGTAGCTTTGTAGACCAGGCTGGCCTCGAACTCACAGAGATCCGCCTGCCTCTGCCTCCCCAGTGCTGGAATTAAAGGCGTGCGCCACCACCTGCTGGCTGCCATGGGTGCTCTTAACCACTGAGCTATAGCTCTGTCCCTTGGTTTTTTTTTGTTTTTGTTTTTTTGTTTTTTTTTTGGTTTTACGAGACAGGGTTTCTCTGTATTGTTTTGGAGGGTGTCGGTCCAGCCTGGCCTCGAACTCACAGAGATCCGCCTGCCTCTGCCTCCCGGGTGCTGGGATTAAAGGTGTCCCTTGGTTTTTTGTTGTCTTGTTTTTTTGACTACAGTGAGTAGTCAAAAACTCTGAGAACCTTGTTGCCCTGGTGTTGTGGTTGCACAATTTTGTTACCCTACGGTGATAGCCGTATGGTTTAGCCGATAGCCTGTGGCTACCTGAGGCTCTGGGAAGGGTTTTTGATGTTGCAGCTGCAATCCCCCTGCTTCCATCTCCTGAGTAGCTCTTATTCCGTGGCTTCCCTCAGCCAAGTCCCCATACTCTCTGAGGGAGTGCCCAGTGGGCTGGTGGAAGGAAGGACTTGGGTCTTTCGTGGGCTGGGGCTCTGGGTGATGTTTTGGGTGTGACAAAGTTTCCATGTTCTCAGGGGCTCTGGGTAGGCTCTCTTCCATCTCCAAGACCAGGCCCAGCCTTCTTTCCCTGGTAACATCCATGCTGTCTCACTTTTTCTCTCCCAGGCTAAATATGGAGTGTGAAACTGCTCTTCTTCCCGATTTAGCATTTGAATTAAAGCGAGAACCGAATGTGGCTGGAATGCTGACTCCCATCTGTGTGCTAGAAAGGGCTTGCAGTCTGATGGGGAAATGACTCCAGAACACGATGACAGCAGGGAGGACAGGTGTGACAGCGGCCTGGGGGGGACACCTGGCAGCTCGGGGGTGAGGGGATAAAATCTGAGCTGAGATTTGTGCACTTGTAGGAGCTGGCTGGTGAAGCAGGAGCTCGCTGGGGTGCTTGGGCACTAAGAACCTTGCAATGATGTGAGTGGCCGCAGCCTCTGCTGAACGCCAAGGGGAGGGGGCTGAGTTGGTCAAGAGCATCCTTCATTTCTGTCTCGCCCTCCTCCCCCTCTTCTTACCCTTCATGGTTAGGGTTAGGGTTAGGGTTAGGGTTTCAGGGTTAGGGTTAGGGTTGGGTTAAGGTTAGGGGTTAAGGTTAGGGGTTAGGGTTAGGGTTAGGGATAGAGTTTCAGGGTTAGGGTTAGGGTTAGTGTTAGGGTTAGGGTTTCAGGGTTAGGGTTAGGGTTTCAGGATTAGGGTTAGGGTTTCAGGGTTAGGGTTAGGGTTTCAGGGTTAGGGTTAGGGTTTCAGGGTTAGGGTTAGGGTTTCAGGGTTAGGGTTAGGGTTTCAGGGTTAGGGGTTAGAGTTAGGGTTAGAGCTAGGGAGAGAATAAACCAGGTGTTCATGACCTGGCCAGAGACATCTGATCACATGATCCCTTTAATTCGGTCTGGGGTTTTGTTCTGTTGTGACAGTCTCCTATGTGGTCCTGCCTAGCCTGCAACAAATGTAGACCAGGCTGGCCTCAACTTGGAGTTATTCTCCTGCCTCTTCTTCCTGAGGGTGTTACAGGTGTTCTCCACCGTCCCCACACACAGGCTGGTCACAGAGTGGATCTGGCAGGCCCAAGGCGGATATGGGACAGAGGCAGTAGGATCAGGATCTCCACACGGAAACCAGTCAGGAAGGGTCCCTGCTTGTTGTAGCCGAAACCACCCTCCTCAGGAGGCCGGCTTGAGTCAGTCTCTCACATTTCTGCCTCTTACTTGTTGAAACCGAGTCATGATTTTGGTTCAGATGAGATGGGGTGGAAATCTTAGGCTAAGAGAAACCTCTTGCTGGCTATGGGAAAGGGCCCGTCTAGAGAGAGGGTCATGCCCCTGCCAGGCCCAGCTAAGGGATGCAGGTGTCAAGACTCTGCATCAATATTTCAGGGAACATTATTTATTGATCACTCATCTGGCTGGGACAAAAGGAGAGAGGGATTCACCAGGGATACGGGGCTGCCTGGGGTCAGTTTGGGGAAGAGGTCAGAGAAAGGTAGTTAGGTCACCGGAGAGGCATCTCCACCCTGGCAGACCCTGCAAGAAGACTTGGGGATTCTAGGGGTTGGTTGCCCTCTCTTCCAACTCCACATTGTCGCTGGTGAAGATGATGGAAAAGGCTAGGGATCAGGGAAGCCTGGAGCAGGCCTGAGATACCACTGTGACCCGGTTCAGGGGGGCAACTACTATGTGGAAATCTTTCCCCTCAACCCCGGACCCTGCCCCCTCCCCTCTCCTGGCTCCCAAATTAGCATCTAAGAGACACCTAGTGAAATGGATTTCAGGGTCGGGAGAGGAGAGGGGCAGTGTTGGGAGGATCCTTCCCAGAAGCTTTCTTTTTCCGTCCACTTATTGTACTGAGTGGTCGGAGTGTGCACCTGCTGGGTTCGGGCAGAGATTGCTGGAGAACCCACAGCCGTCCTGTCTACCTACCCTCAAAGATGCTTTCCCCTTCCCCCTTTAGTTTTCCCTCCCGTGGAGCAGGCTCCCTGGTCCCCAGGCCTTAGCCATTGGAGAGATTGATTGATGGAATCTCACACTGGGAGGGAGCTGCGCCACCTAGTGGGCTTTCCATGCCTTGCAGGCAGCGGTCCCGCAGCGCGCGCTTGGGTTAAAGCCCCAAACGGAAGCCGCTGTCCAGCTCCCGGGACTGACTCGGGACGTGCGCTCTCCTCCTCGAGCCAGAGCCGGGAAGAGATAACTGCGGCGCTTGGGAGGGTAGTGGTCCCGCGCTAGCAGGGCCTTTCGACCCCGGAGACAGCTTGCTCCGGTCATCCCGGGATGCCGCAGACCCAGGGACCGCCGCCCCGAGTTCCTCCATCCCCTGCTAGCATCGCTTTCCCGCGGGCTGAGCAAGGCTGCGCTCGCTCGCTCGGCTCTGCTCATCGCGGCCGAGCCGGCACAGGCTAGAGGGAGCTGCTGCCGGCTTCCCTCTGACGTCAGGGCCTGGAAACCCCATTTCCAGCAGGTTCTTGGGAGGTTGAAACACCCACAGGAGAGGAGGAGAAGCCGGAGGAAGCAGCCTCAGGCCTGAGGCCGGCGTAGTGCGGAGCATAGGCCTGGAGGCTTGCCTGATGCTTCCCCAGGAGCCCGGACGTGTGACGATAGCACTAGACCCCAGCCCTTCCCAGCCGGCTGATGCCTCCCACCTAGCAATAGCAGACTGTCGTTTATACCCCTCTAGCCTGAGGACATCCGAGGGTGGACCTCGGGGACAGAGGGGACAGCGTGAAGTCACCCAGACCCAGTGAGTCCCACCAGCCAACCTTCTCCTAAAAGGCTTTCCACCTATTCCGTCGTCACCGCCATCTCTCCTCTCCTCTCCTGCACCGTAGGAAGCAGGCCCCAGTGCCCAGGATTCTGGAAGCCTGAGTGTTTCCATGGCAACAGAACACGGCGAGTGGCAATCTGAGAACGTACTCCTTTTGACACACACACACACACACACACACACACACACACACACACACACATACACACACACACAAACCAAGATGTCTATGTAGAGTCTGGCCGTGCAGAGTCTGGTAGTGTGGGGGGGCATGTGCATAGCGTGTGTGTGTGTGTGTGTGTGTGTGTGTGTGTGTGTGTGTGTGTGTGACATATAGCAAATGAAATTTAAATAGAATGCCTGACCTGTTTTCCTGGCTATATGGTAGGTACTTTTGGGCATCTTCTCTTCTGTGACTGGTACCTTTCTCTCCTTTCCAATTAAAAAAAAAAAGCCAGATTCCTTCAGGACTGTGCTGACTGGTTTTATGTCAACTCCACGTAGGCTCGGGTCATCCCAGAGGGGAAAATCTTGAGGAATTGCCTCCATCGGATAGGCAAGCCTGGGGTGTATTATTATTATTTTGGTTTTTCTTTTCTTTCTTTCTTTCTTTCTTTCTTTCTTTTTTTTTTTTTTTTTGGAGACAGGGTTTCTCTGTATTGTTTTGGAGGCTGTACTGTAACTCGATCTGTAGACAGGCTGGCCTCGAACTCAGAGATCCGCCTGCCTCTGTCTCTCCAGTGCTGGGATGAAAGGCGTGCGCCACCACCGGCCTGTGGTGCATTTTCTTATCTGATGACAGATGTGGGACAGACCAGCTCCTTCCGGCCAGTGCTGTCCCGGGAAGGTGGTCTTAGGCAGTACACAAATGCAGACTGAACGACCTAGGAGCTGGCCAGTGAGCAGCGCTCTTCCCTGGCCTCGGCTTCCGTTCCTGCTCCCTCGGTGACGCGGTGTGACCTGAGAGCTGTACTGAAATAAACCTGTTCCTCCCCTAGTTGCTTTGGGTCATGACGTTTCCACAGCAATGGAAACAAAACTTAGACGGGGGCTGCTCTTCCAGAGGTCCTGAGTTCAATTCCTAGCAACCACATGGTGGCTCACAGCCATCTACAATTCAATCTGGTGCCCTCTTCTGGCATGTAGACAGAACAGTATATATGTAATAAATAAATAAACCTTAAAAAAAAAAAAAGACTTTACATCTGGCAACCTCCACGGGCTACTAAAGGATCTACTGAGATTTGGGGGACAGGCTTCTGGGGTGCAAAACAACTTTTGGGGGTGAGGACCCTTAACTTAGCGTTCCTGTGTTCCATCCGGCCCTTTTCCAGCCCCTCACAGCCACGCCTCACCTCTCTGCCTGGCTCCCACTTACTGCCTTGGTGTGTGTGTGGGGGGGCAAGAAGGTCACAGAGGCCGTGATGAAGGAGGTGACAGAGTTTCGTTTATTGGCTCATCCAGTGGGCACCACAGACTCGGGAGCCTCTCGGCTCCTCCTTTCTCTTCCTTCTTCCCAGATTCTGCTTGGCCCTAGATGAAGCTGGCAGAACCAGGGCCCAGGGGTGGGGTCCGGGTTGGCTCTGGCAGGGAGGGGTTTGCTTGGCACAGGAAGGGGACCCAGTGACTAGTTAGGTCCCCTTTGACAGGAGAGGAAGGGGCCAGCTTGGCAGGACCTCGACAGTGGCGGAGCCCAGCCTAGGGGCGCGGATGCGTAAACTAGATCAAGGATGGAGCCAGCGGTGGGGAGGCCCCTTGGAGCGTCCTTCTGTCGAGGGCCTGGATCCTCTGAGGTTCGGGGACCAACAGGGGTGGGTAAAGAGGGAGAGAGACCAGGGCCGAAGTAGGGAGGAAGGGACCACCGTCACCCATCCTCCCCAGCATGTATCCCTTGGGATCCCACCTCTTTCTGGTGGCAGGGCCATGTTGCTCACATACAGCCCGTGCCTTCCTCCACTCCCAGCTGGGCCTGAATAACACCCTCCCTCCTCAGACCTACCCCACTTGTTCCCCTCCTTGGCCTGTCTGGACTGTGGCCGCTACCCCTGTTCAAGTCAGAGCTGTGGCTGCATGTCAGGCCCCAGAGGAGGGGATGTCAGGCCCCAGAGGAGGGGATGTCAGGCCCCAGAGGGGGGGGATGGCCATGGTCTTCAGCAAGGCACTGGATGGGCGGGGCGGGGCGGGGCGGGGCTGGAGCGGCGAGAAGAGCAGTGCTGGCCCAAGAGCCCCCACCTCCTCAAGGGCTGAGCCGCTGGCTTCCCTGCAGCTGCGCCCCCCCTCCTCTGCAGGAAGAGTCCGCGGGGAGTGGGGGGTCTCGGGTCTGAAACACGTGGGCCAGTGGCCCGCGGTGGAGCTGCCTCCAATGCTATCGCCCTACAGCTGCAGGGGTGGGGGCAGGTGAGGACTTCAAGCCGAGTCGCCCCCTCCAGAACTCTTCTTCTTGGGTCGGGTCTTCAGCGTCTTGGGAGCCACTGGCTGTGTAGAGAGGGTGCCGGGGCTCGGCCAGGTCCCACTGGCGTCGCCCCCACTTCCCTCTCGTCCGCCCGCGGGGCCTGCGGCCTCACCTCAGCTTTGGGCACTTTTTTGATAGATTTGGTCCTCTTGGGCGCCTTGTCTCCCAGGTCATCTTCTGAGGTCTCTGTCCGGGGATCTGCCTGGCTTGTGCTACACCTTACACTCAGGCCAGGGTCATCTGGTTTGGGAGCGGGGGAGGGAAAGAGAGTAAGGGCACAGGGGTCTCTGTCGGGTCTTTCCCCCACAGCCCGGGCTCGGCCAGTACCTAAGTCCTCGATAGTGTCCAGGAGGCCCCCGGGGCCGGGTCGGAGGCGGCCGTCGGCCCCCTGCAGTGGTAATGCGTCCTCATCTCGGATGAGGGTCAGGTCCTGCATGCTGAAGCTCCGCAGCTTTTCGGACAGCACGCCCTGGCCCTAGGGTCACCACCACGCAAGCACCGAGAGAGAGCAGGAGGGAGGGGGCGGGGTGGAGGTAGAGGTTACCGTGGTGTTGGACTTTCCCCCCTTGGTTCCGATGAGGAAACTGACCCGACAGTGGAAGAAATAGGGCTGGCGCCTGGAGCTTGCACAGCCCAAGGTCTCCAAGGCCTGAAGACACGGGGTGGATGCCCGGGAAGGACCCAACGGGATGGACAAGGCGGGGGCCCCCAGGAGTCCGGACCCATCCGTAGCTCACCTTGGCAGCAGCTGTGACTGCAGCGTTGGCAGCCAGGTTCAGGCCCCTCTTGCCCACCCTCATCATGGTCTCATAGCTCTTGTCTCGGGCTTGTGTGATGTATTCGTCGATCTCCTACGGGGATGGCAGACTGGAAGTGGCAAGGCTGCAGGCGAGATGTTCCTACCTGTGCCGAGACAGTGTCCGCCGCCCCTGGGAGCGAGGCTCTGCAAGGTTACTGCGGGCTCTGGCCACCCACAGGAAAACGGGAGTGCCTCAGCTCAGCTAGGTCAGGCTGGGGGGAGCGGAAGGCGGGGGGTGGGGGCAAACCTTTTCCTTGTTGGACAGTGTAGGATGCACAAACTTGCGGTAGAGAACGCTGGAGCCCTTGGTGTAAGGGGACAACAGCCATATCACGAAAGCAATCTTGAGCTCGAAGTAGAAGGGGAACCTGTTGGGAGGACAGAGGTGTGTGTACAGCGCCAGAGTTAAGCAAGGGGTCGATCAGCACTGACCCCTGGACAGCTCCAGCCCTGTAAGATTTCCGTGAGGACTGGGAGAGTGGAGGAGGGGGTTCTAAACTGAGACTCCGCGTGGGGAGATAAGATGTGACCCCAAATTGGGGTACATGTCTAGAATCCCTGTCCTTGGCAGACTGGTCACAAATTTGTGGCCACTCTGGGCTACCTAAGACCCTATCTCAAAACAAACCATAGAACAAAGACCATGCATGGGGGGGGGTCCATTCCTAAATCTCAGGCACCTGGGGAGTGGGGGCAGGAGGATCATCTTCAGCCATATAGGGAGTTCAGAGTCAGCCTGGGCACAGGATGCATGGGACACACTCTCCCCAGCAAGCCCCGTGTTCCCAGGTCTCCCGTCTCCCGGTCCCGCCTGCCCTCCTTGCATGCGGAGGACCAGGATGGAGTCTGGGTCTTCACCCTTGCTGCCCAGGCCACGCCCTTCTTCTGTTTTCAGTGTTGACCTCCAGCACACTTGGCAAAAGCACTCTACCAATGAGTTATAACCCCAGCCTTTGACTTTTTAATTTTTAATTTTTTTGAGACAGGGTTTCTCTGTGCCGCTTTGGAGGCTGTCCTGGAACTCGCTCTCTAGACCAGGCTGGCCTTGAACTCACAGAGATCCGCCTGCCTCTGCCTCCCGAGTGCTGGGACTAAAGGCATGCGCCAACAACGCCTGGTGACTTTTCATTTTTTACCAAGTTGGGTAGCTAGGTCTTGGATTTGCCGTCCTCCTTCCTCAGTCCCCCAAGTAGCTGTGCTTGCTACATGGCTCATTCATGCGTGTGCGTGTGTGTGTGCATGTGTGTGCACGCGTAACAGAGGTCAGTCTCGGGTATTGCTCTCTCACTGACTTGGAGTTAACAAGTCCACCTTTCTCTGCTCCCCCGAGCTGAGATTGCAAGCATGGGCCATCATGCCTTTTAAACATGGGTTCTGGGAGCTGGTTAGGGCCTCGTGTTTGAGCAGCGAGCTTCACCCACCCAGCCATCTCTCTAGCCCTTCAATGTTTTTCAGTTAAAACTTCTGTTGTTTTTTTCCAGACAGGGCTTCTCTGTGTAACAGCCCTGGCTGTCCTGGAACTCCCTCTGTAGAGCAGCCTGACCTCAAACTCAGAGACCCGCCTGTGCTGGGATTAGAGGCCTGCACCATTGCTGCCGCCACCACCCAGCTGGAACACTTTTTCCTGAGGACTTAGTCTCACGGTGCTGCTCACAGTAACCTCAGACTCTAAGACTCAAGTGGCCCTCTGCTTCAGTGTTGGCCCTCAGTTCTTTGTATGTCTGGGGTACGGCTCTCCACTTGCCAGGCCATGAACCCCCTCAAGTCTTCTACACCCTCACAGAGCCCCCATCAGAGCCCTCTCCTTCACTAGTGCCCTGGAAATCTAGACTCAGTACCATGGATCTTTTCACAAATTTCTAAATTACCTCTGTCTACTAAAACCATGGCCGGTGAACACAAGGGCTTTATCTACACATGACACGATAGTTTGTCATCTCGTTACAGATGGTTGTGAGCCACCATGTGGTTGCTGGGAATTGAACTCAGGACCTCTGGAAGAGCAGCCAGTGCTCTTCAACCTCTGAGCTGTCTCTCTAGCCCCCTTGTCTTCCAATCTTTAAAACTTTTTTTGTCTCTTATTTAAATTTTGTTTTTTTGTTTTTGGAGTCAAGGACAATTTTATCAGAGTTTAAAAGAAAACCAAACAAATAACCCCAGGGCAGGCAAGCTTTAAACTCAGTTTCCCAGAAGAGGAGAATGGGAGAGAGAAGGAAGGAAACCATGGAGTTCAGACACACAGCTGACAGGCTGTCACATGGTGGAAAAAGAGTAAGGAAGCCTAAAATGTGTTTGAAAAGGGATGGGCCAGGCTGCGGTGGCGCACACCTTTAATCCCAGCACTTGGGGAGACAGAGGCAGGCAGATCTCTGGGAGTTCAAAGTCAGCCTGGTCTAGAGGGTTCCAGGACAGCCAGAGCTGTTATGTGGAGAAACCATGTCTCAAAAAAAAATAAATAAATACAAAGATAAATAAAATAAAAAAGATTCAGAGGTTAAGAGCACCGGTTGCTTTCCAGAGGACCTGGTTCAGGTCCCAGCACCCACGTGGCCACAGCTGTAACTCCATTCCCAGGTGCTCTGACGCCCCCTTCTGACCTCTGGCACCAGGCACACACACGTTACACAGACATACATGCAGACAAAGTGCCCAAACACATACAGTAGGTGCTTTTTTTTTTTTTTTAAAGAGAGAGTAGGGCATAGTGGTGCAGTGCATGCCTGTGATCCTAGCATTTGGAAAGCTGAGGCAGGAGGATCACTGCAATTCTGAGGCCAGCTTGGGTTACAAAAGCATTCCAGGTCAACCCAGCCCGAGATACATAGTGAAACTGTCTAGGGGAAGGAAGGAAGGGAGGGAGGGAGGGAGGATGAAAAAGAAAAATTATGCTTTTTTGAATTAAAAAAAATCAAGTGGACTTATGAAGGTACATGGCTGTAGCCAGTAAGCTATTGCCCCTCCTCCCCTCTCTCTCTGTTTTTCTGTGTATCAGGGTTTCTCTGTAACAGCCCTGGCTGTCCTAGAATTTGCTTTGTAGACCAGGCTGGCCTTGAACTCAGAGATCTGCCTGACTCTGTCTCCTGAGTGCTGGGATTAAGGCATGGGCCACCACTGCCTGGCTGCTATTGCCTCTTTTTAAAAAAAGGATGTCTGTGCGCACAGGCACATATGTGTGTGTGCGTCTGTGTATGTGTGTATCTGTGTATGTATGTCTCTGTGTGTGTCTGTGCATGCATGGGTGTGTGTGTGTGTGTGATTGTGTGGTGTGTGTGTCTGTGTGTGTGTATCTGTATGTCTGTGTGTGTCTGTGTGTGTATGTCTGTGTGTGTGTTTGTGTCTATGTGTGTATCTGTATGTGTATGTCTGTGTGTGTGTGACTGTTGGTGTGTGTATGTTTGTGTGTGTGTGTATGTGTGTGTCTGTCTGTCTGGTGTGTGTGTCTGTGTGTGTATGTCTGTGTGTGTGTATCTCTGTGTGTGTGACTGGTGTGTGTGTCTGTGTGTGTATCTCTGTGTGTGTATGTCTGTGTGTGTGTGTGCTGGGCGCAGGCTACTGGAATAGTGCATGGGGGGTGGGGTCAGAAGACAGCATCTGGGGCTGCTTCTCTCTTCCCACTCTTACAGGGCTTTCAGGGATCAAACTCAGGGCATCAGGATTATGTAGCAAGAGCTTTGCTGACAAGCCACTTTGCTGCCCCCTGCCCTGAGATTACGTAGCCCAGGTTGGCCTCAAAACTGCAACGATGCTCCCTGCCTTATGATCCCCAGTGCTGGGATTACAGCCGACTCAAATCCCATGTCCTGTACTCTTCAAGAGGCACTAGCTCATGAAGTAAACGTTTCTGAGAGGACTCAGACATATTCCCTGTCCCCATAACCTGCTTGCAATGCCTTAGAAATATGAATGTCCAGTGTGCACACGACTGAACTCTGTCCCACAAACAGGGGGAGATGAGCATTAGGGACTGGTCATCTGTTGTCACCATGAGGATGACAGAGCAGGTGCAGACTCGCTGAATACCACCGTGGTGCTGTGGCTGTCACCAGAAAGAAATGTGGAGGTTCTGTCTGCCTCCTGTCCCTTGCACTAGGGCGTCCCAGCTGTTCTGGAACTCGCTATGTAGATTCACCTGCCCCTGCCTCCCAGGTGCGGGGGGGATTGCAGGGTGCGCCGCCACGCTTGGCTCGTTATGTCTGTCCCTGCTATGCTGACATCAGGCTTTAAGAGCAGTGTTAAGGAAGCTGAGAGACTGTTGGGGCTGGGGGTGACTCTATCCTGGGTCCCAACCTCCTGCCTATCAGGTTGGAGGAGAGAGGAGGTCTGGGTCTTGAGATTCGAGGAGGGGGGGCACTGGACCTCACCAGGACAGTATTATATCCGTGAGTGTCTCAGCTGTGGTGAAGAAGGCAAAGACGATCCAGTACATCATCCACTTGACCTGAGGGGCAAAAGGGCAGCATCACGTGGGGCCCAGGGGCTGAGGGCAATTGTTGTCACCCAAGGTCCCCAATGTGTCATCGTCAAGTACCAAGGGCTAAGCCGGAGAAACCCAGGACCCCCATATTGCTGTCTGCTCCCTACTGAAGTCCTGGGAGAAAGTTACCCAGGACTTGACCGTTTGTCAACCGTACCATGCCCGGGTGGCAATTGGGAACACCCCGGAACCTTGGACAGTATGGCACAAAGCCACGCCCTTACCACCTACCCGTATGAGACAGACGTGACAAAAACGTGCCCCTACCCACCATGCTTGTGCAGCAGGGGAAGTTGTTCCACTCACATATTCCTTCACGTTTTTGGTCTTCACGGCCTTGTAGGAGGAATAGGCTGGGTACAGGGTGCCGAAGACGAGCCTAGGGAGGCAGGCGTGGTTACTGGGCCCTTCTCCCTCCCAGCTCCGTATTAGTCCCTTGGGGGGGGGCGCTAAGGTGAAAAGGACCAGAGCTGTCTGGCCCAGGAGCTCTGGTCAAGGATTATGTCAGAGCAATCAAGGCTCTGGAGATGCATGCCCTGGAGGCGGGGAGGGGGGGTCCAGGAGCCCGGATGAGTGACCATTCCTTCAGCCCTTGGCTTAGGAAAAGACCCAGAGGTTGGAGAATCCAAAGCGGTCCCTTCAGCCAGACTCCTTGGCTATGCACAAGCCTGTTACGCGCGGCCGAGGGGGCCTGGCCGCTGCCACGAGATGACCTCCCTCTTGGCCCAATGCCCACCCAACCCATCTGTCCATACGCTCGCTCCACTTCCTTGTCTCAGAGGCAAGAGGCTGGGCAGGACTCTGGTTCCCCAAGGGCACCTAACATCACCTAACAACAGGGCACCCAGCCTGACAGTCAAGGGAACTTCTGTGTTCCTGGGACCAGAGGACACAGACGCCAGGAGGTCCCGGGGGAGACAAAGAGATTCGCAGCCCCCATGTCAACATGGTCTGGGGGCAGGTACAGAAGACCTAGGCATTCGACCCTGCTCTGAGCATCCCGCTGCAGACTGCAGAAAGGACATCAGTAGGGGAGAAAGAGTCAGATATCCTGTAGGGAGTTTGCCCAGGCCGGGAGGGAAGCGGCCGTTCTGGACGCCACACACACGGAGAGATAAGGCCTCCGGGGGTGGGGTGGGAAGAGGAAACTCCAGTGGGTTAAGAGGAAATCAGGACAGCTGCGTGTAACAACATTGACTGCGAAGAAGGGTGTGGCTGCTGGGGGAGCCAGTCCTGATGGAGGCAGAGGGAGAGAGAGGAAGGGTCAGCTCTCAAGTGTTGCCCGGTCAGGACGGCAGTCACTGCCCGTGGGGATGTGGGATAGCGGGGGCAGGATCTCCAAGACCGACCCGACGTCTAGGCTGGTGTGTCTCAGGCAGGGAGGAATTTCTTCCTGTGTGATGGGGGGGGGGGGGGGAGTGCCAGGGCCATAGCGGCACCGTGCGACTGTTACAATGTGCCTGGAGTCAAGGCCGCCAAGTGTGTTTTCCCCGTGCTTTTCACTAGCCCGGGCGGACAATATCCATCCCTCCCAGCCTCCGTTCCGGGATGCCTCAGGGCAGGTGTCCTCATCCGGTCTCTAATCAGGAGGAAGAGGGAGGAAGGCCTGCAACCTTTGGGATCCGAGCTCTGGCATGATGAGCACCGCCCCCCTCCGCCCCCCACCCTGTCATGCTCCCCCCACGCTCGCTCCTCCTCTCCTCCCGAGGGGGGGAAATGAAGCTCTTGTCTGCTGGGCTCCTCCAGCCTGGACCTGCTCGGTGGGGGAGGGGACGTGCCCGCCTCCCCTTACAAACCAGTAGCTGCCCAGCCGCTAGCATGGGGGAGGGCGCGGGAGCAGGGCGACTGAGAATAAATGGGGTTTTTAAAGATAATAACGGGTGAGGTCCCCGGGAAGCCAGGCCTGCCGGGCTCCCGTCCTGATCCCCTTCCAGCCTTCGGTCTCTGCCCCTGGGGGACACCACACAGGGAGGGAGCCGCGGCTGGCCCATCCCAGGCGTGGATCCCGGGCCCTCTCCATCACTGGTCCTCCCCCTCCCCCTGCGCCCCCCAGCCCGGGCGAGCCCGGGTCCTGCCTCCGCACTCACACCACCAGGCGAGAGATGATCCAGGACACCATGGCGGGGCGGGGCGGGGACCCAGCCCGGGCGGGGATGCAGCTGCCCGAGGCCGGCGGCGGCGAGGGCTGCGGGAGCTGCAGTTAGCAGCGGCAGCCGCCGTGGGGTCAGCGGAGCGAGCGCGGAGTTGCCGCCGTTAAAGGGGAGGTCCCTGCCGCAGCGGCGGAGCGGGCCGTGGGCGGCGGCTCTTAAAGGGGAGGCCGCGGTGTCGGCGCGCCCCCCCAGCACCTGCTGCGGCTGGGCATGCGCCCTCGCCCTCGCCGCTTCCCTCGAGCGTCAGGCTGGAGGCCGGCCTCCTGGCGGGGACCCTCTGGGTTCCATCCTTTGGCATCAGCTTCGGCCGCCCACCTCCCCCCCTGCCCACATCAGGTTGAAGGCCGATTGCTTAGCTGCCAGGCCCTGGTGCTTGGAGCTTCCCAAGTTCTTTCATTGAATCCTCACGACTACCCTATAAGGCAAAAGTTATAATTATCCTCATCTGGAAGGTGGGGGTTATTGGTCTCACTACTATGCTAAGGGTCGAAAACCACTAAGTCATACTGTTACGATATGAAACTAGTAAGTGTATTTTACAGGCTGCGTACTACAAACACTGACCATCGAACTCTCTCCTCCCCCATTTCGGGCTCCTGGGGCCAGGCACAGCTGCAACCGTCCACTCCAGTACTCAGTAGCCGCCAATTCTGAGGTTAAAGGGCACCTGTCCACGTGGTCTGACGGGCATTTGGATGGTAAATTGTGCTGGGGTCAGGGAGATGTGAAATTCAATTTCATGGGGAAGGGTAGGAGAGAAGAGTGTGTCTTCAGTCGGTGGAAGTCCAGGGACCTCGGCTCCACCCCCATCAGAGAGTACCACCGGTAGTGGATGTCCTAATTCTGACATTTATATCCAGAATGTAGGCTACCTCGCCTCCTGATTTTCACCAAAGCCAGCCTGTTCCAAAGCATCCCTCCTCCACGGCCCTATTTTACAGCCGCTGCATCCTGGCGCCTTTATGTGTGGAATAATCCTTTTGGTGAGCACACTATTGACCCGTCCCACCCAGGATGTAAGGGCATGCCCAGGCCACTGCATGTCAAAGCTATATGGTCTTAACTATGTTTTCGGGCTCAAATGCTTTGGTGGGTGTTTTCAAACTGGTGTGTGAGAAGCAGGCCTCTGATGATGTGTCCTGCTTTTTCTGTACGACTTCCTTCCCAAAAGGCTGCTTTTAACTGGCCTGCAGTCTGTCCTTACCCAGCAAGAACACTTTAATTTTGCTTAATAAACAGAAGCCCGGTTGGGTCGGCTTCCACCATTTCTGAGGCGATCTAGGGCCACACACTTTAGCAGGCGTTTGCACAACCTCACAGCCTTGCCTGGGCTTTGAGCAGGTCGCACGTTCATTTGGCACCCTCCTGGAGGAAGGGGGACCCCATTTACCCCTTGTAAGCGTTTCGTCGGGATGGGTCAGGACAGGATGGAACAGGAGTGAGTGGGTCAGGTATTCTGGCACTCGGGAGTCACAGAATACCCAGTGTTACACAGCTCAGGTGGAAAGGTATCCTGGAGCTCGGGAGCCAAGGATACTGAGTGTTACACAGCTCAGGTAGAAAGGTATCCTGGAGCTCGGGAGCCAAGGACCACCACGGGTTGCAGTAAGCTTGGCAGCTTACAGCCTTGCCTCAGAGAAAGGCTTCTCCGGTGTGTCAGCTCCGCTCCGGCAGGACAGGGTCTTCCAGCTGGGGATGTTCGCCTAGTGTAGCAGTTTTGCTCCGCAGGAGGTTTCTCCGGCGAAGTTGCTACAGTTCAGCTCTGCTCCTGGAGAGCCGAGAGCGGAGAGCAGGGAGCCGGGTGGGAGCAGAGTGTAACAACTCCGCTCTGCCAAGGAAGGTTTCCCGGGCAAGTGTTACAGCGCTGCTCGCTCTGCTCTGCTCTGCTCTGCCCAGGGTCGCCTCTGCTCGCTCTGCTCTGCTCTGCCCAGGGTCGCCTTTGCTCTGTCGCAGCCGCAAAAGAAGATCTTCACCCGAAGCTCATCCAAAGGTGTTTATTGGAAGACAGCTGGACCAGCCAAGCTGAACATACACAGGGTTTATATAGGGGTTCCTGGGGTTGGGGAAGTTTTTCCAGGGTAGGGATTGGTCCGATTTCAGTGCTGAGCTCAGATTGGCTAGAGCTCTGCTCCGGGATTGGTTACTTTTTACACAGGATTAGGGTCAGATTTGGCTCTGGTTTCAGGGCCAAAGTGTGCTTCTTTCTCTGGTCCTTTTTAGCCTTTTGGCTCCAATTTTAGGGCCAGGGTACATTTCTTTCACTGACTCTGATTCCAGGGACAAAGTGTGTTCCTTTGGCACTGGTTTTAGGGTCAGGGTACATTTCTTTGGTTCTGGTTGCAGGGCCAAAGTGTGTTTCTTTGGCTCTGCTCAGGGTGTGTTTCTTTGACTGGTCCCTTTTCCCTACATTTTCCCCTTTTTTGTTTAATAAAACTGGGGTTTGGAAAAGGGGCGGTGTTATCATTAGACTACTTCCTGCTGAATGGGGGCGTCGAGGTTTATGGGGCAATCTTCATCTTTGTCCAGATGTGTCCAGGTGTTGTAGCTTTCTGGTTCCTTAGCTAGGGGCTGATAACCCTGTAATAACAACTGGTTGAAAGTTTGGTTAGAAATTTTTTGAACTTGTGGTTGAAGGAATCTAGACAAAAAATTTATAAGACAGGGTGCCACTAGTAGAATTAAGAAAACAGAGAGAAGAGGAGTTAGAAAAGGTAGTATCCAGTTTTATATTGGATTATTAGTGATCCACTGGCCAGAGCTATCAAGTTGTTTTTTATATTTTTGAAGGTCTGTTTGAAGTTGTTGAATTTTATCCTTTACTATTCCTGACTGGTTAACATAAAAGCAACATTCTTCCCCGAGAAAGAGGCAAAGTCCACCTCTTTCTGCTGTTAGTAAATCTAGTCCTCTCCGATTTTGTAGTACTACAGCAGATAGGGAGTCTATCTGACCCTGAAGGGTGAGGATGGTTTGAGCTACCTGTTGGAAATCCTGGATGAATTGTGAGGAAAGCCTATGGTACATCGTTAGGGAAATAATTAATCCTGCTGTTCCTGTGGCCACACCTGCAGTTATGCCCAGAGCTGCCAGGAGGGGTACGATCTGAATTGCTCGATTGTCATGTCGTCCTGCTATAAACTGAGTGATGGGAATTGGTAGGGGCTCTTCACCAGGTATCACTCCTAATTTAGGGAAGAGGAACACCAGGGTACATGTCCCAGACCAACTGGCAGGCAGGCAGTGGTATACCTGTGTGTCACAGAGAATCGACGCATTGTGAATGTTTGGACATAGGGGCTGTGTGGTAGTATTAAGTGTTATGGTATTGTTGTAGTCTTTAGAATCTAGAATGTCCACAAGGTGTGTTCCTGCTGAGCTAAAGCAGTCTGAGATACCGAAGAGAGAGATGTGGGAGAGATAAGGGGTGGTAGTAATGTTTGCCTCAGAGCAGTTTAGAAGTGGCAAAGTGGGAAAATCTGTTAAGACAATGGGTGAGGCCACAAAGGGTGGTTGTGAGTTTGACCCAGGAGGGACACACAACCAGCATTCTTTAAAGCGGTTAGGCAAGACATTATTTAATAGCTGGTATGTAGAGATTAAGGTTTGAAATAAGAGATGGTATGACAGGTTTAGGAAGGAGCTGCCATCCGTATACCATGTATAGGTGGCTTGGGGTAGAAGCTCCCTCATGTATATGTGTAGGATGAGGTAGTAACTCTTCTAGGGTCTCAATGTAAGAGTGAGATGGGGAGTATTTTGAGACTGGTTGGGGGAGAAGATTTGAAATATTAAGAGGTGGGCATGGCTGAAAGGTAAGTGTTGTATCCTCTACTAATGCTACCTGAAGGGAGAGAACTCTGGAGGGGGTAATGTTTGGAGACCCTTATATGTTAGAAGATGGGACAGGTGGTGAGGAGAGAGGACAGTAGTAGGAGACCCAAAGGTTAACTTTTTTGATTCTCGTATGAGGAGTTTAGCTGCAGCCAGAGCCCGCAGACAAGGTGTCCAACCTTGGATAGTGTGATCTAATTTTTTTGATAAGTATGTGACTGGTGCAAAGGAAGGTCCCAGTTGGTGACCCAGGACCCCGAGGACATATCCCTCTTTCTCAGTAACATAGAGAGAGAAGGGACGCGTTAAGTCTGGAAGGTGTAAGGCTGGAGCCTGTAGGAGGGCCTGTTGAAGCTGACGAAATGGCTTGGTAACAGGTGTAAGGAGAGGCTCATGTGATGGGCCAAGGGCTGCCTGATACAGAGGGCGAGCAAGAAGGGAGAAGGAAGGAATCCAAGAACGTAAGAAGCTGGCCATTCCTAGGAAGGATAAGATTTTATCCTTTGTGGTGGGGACTGTAAGTGATTGTATTAGGTTTTTTCTATCTAGGGTAATAGCCTTATGAGTTGGAGTAATAGTTAGTCCTAGGTAAGTTACCTGAGGAATGGACAGCTGGACCTTAGAGGGTGATACCCTATATCCTCGGCTACATAGAAAATTTAACAAAGTAGATGTGTCGGCCTGGCTTATTTCTAGGGATGGACTACAAAGGAGAAGGTCATCTACGTACTGTATCAACTTGGATTTTGGGAGAGACAAAGAGAATAAATCAGAGGCTAGGGCCTGACCAAATAAATGGGGGCTGTCCCGGAACCCTTGAGGTAGGACTGTCCAAGTAAGTTGTGTAGAAATGTGAGTGTCTGGGTCAGTCCAAGTAAAGGCAAAGATATTTTGTGACTGGGGGTCCAGAGGAATAGAAAAGAAGGCATCCTTGAGATCAAGGACAGAGAAATGAGAAGTTTTTGAAGGGATGGTGGAGAGTAGAGTATAAGGATTGGGAACTATAGGATGAAGGGGCACTACTGCTGAGTTAATAAGTCGGAGATCCTGAACCAGGCGGTAGGTTCCATTAGGTTTTTTGACTGTAAGTATGGGGGTGTTGAAGGGGGAAGAAGTGGGGCAAAAAAGACTTTTTCTCAGGAGGTCAGAGATGAGAGGTTTGAGTCCCCTGAGACTTTGGAGTGAAAGTGGGTATTGAGCCTTAGTTATATATTTGGCAGGGTTTTGTAGTCGGATGATTAGAGGGGTGTGATGTTTGGCTATAGAGGGATTTTGGGTGTCCCATACCTGAGGATCTACCTGAGAGGATGGTAAGGGAAGAAGTGTGTCAGACTGTGTAGTTTGTAGGAGGAGGAGAAGGGGAACAGCTGGCAAACCTGAGGCCAAACGGATAGGAGGAGCAAAAGAAATGGAGGCTCCCACTTTGGCTAAAAGGTCCCTTCCCAGCAATGGGATGGGACAGGTTGGTATCACTAGGAAGGAATGAGTAAGGGGGATACCCTTAAAGATACAGTTAAGTGGTGGGGTTTGTTGGGCCTGATAGGGCTGTCCTCCTACTCCGACAATAGAGGAACAAGAAAGAGTGGTTGGTCCCCAAAAATTTGTCAAGACTGAAAAAGTGGCTCCAGTGTCCAGGAGGAAGGAGATAGGCCTCCCTGATACTATGATAACTACCCGAGGCTCCCTGTCGGAGATGGCGGTGGTCAGGCCAAGGGAGCCCGGGCCCCGTCAGTCATCAATGGCCAGGCCAAGGAGGTCAGTTGAAGGGCGATCTGGGATTGATGTCCCCATGCTGTCAGGAACATGGGGGCAATCAATGCCCCAGTGTCCCTCTTGATCGCACCTTGGACATGGTCCTGGTGGTTTACGAGGGTTTGGACAGGCCCGGGCCCAGTGGCCTTCTTGACCGCATTTGAAACAAGGACGTAGGAGCCTTTGTCCTTTGGGAGCCTGGGCTTTCGTTTTGGCTGGCCAAGAGCTTTTAGTCATCATTAGGTATTTTTGTTTTTGGGCCTTTTTATCCCTTCCATGGTACACCTTGAATGTCACATTTAGGGCTTCTGACTGTGGAGTTAAGGGGCCCTTTTCTAGACGTCTGAGTTTGGCCCTAATATCAGGGTAACTTTGGGAAAAAAAGTAGGTCATAAGGAGTTTGTTTCCATCTTGAGTCTCAGGATCCACATTGGTGTATTGTAAGAGGGCCTTTGTAAGACGGTCTAGGAATTGGGATGGGTTTTCATCCTTGTCCTGGATGACCCTTTGGATCCTTTTATAATTTACTGCTTTAAGAGCAGCCTTACGGAGACCAGCCAGGAGACAAGTTAAAAACCGCTTCCTAGCTAGGATGCCCCCTGGGGTATTGTAATCCCAGTCAGGCTCCTGGTCAGGAACTGCCATAGATCCAACTGGGTAGGTATTATCAGTTTGATGGATGTCATCTGCATAGATTCTAGCCTGTTCCCAAACTCGCCTGCGTTCCTCAGGGAGGAGATTGTTGGTAAGAATCATATAAACATCATGGAAGGTAAGGTTATAGGACTGGGTAATATACTGGAATTCTTTAATAAAGGTGGAAGGGTTGGCACTATAGGATCCCAATCTTTTGTCTATTTGGGAGAGTTTAGTCAATGAGAAGGGGACATGAACTTTGACTAAGCCATCCACCCCAGCAACCTCTCGCAAGGGGAGAACTGGAGCTGGTTTAGGTTGGGGAGGTAAAGGGGTGGTCCCTTAGTGGAGCGGGACCGAGTAGTGGGAGGACTAGGGACTGTTGGTGGTGAGCTGAAGGAGGGTGCCAGTGAATGCTGACTAGGGTGACTTGTCACTGAAGAGGGAGGAAGGGAAATCGGAGGGGCCAGCACAAGAGGGGAGCTGAGGGTTTTGTTCGACGGGGAGAAGGCTCATTGGCTGGATCAAAAGTAGTAGAGGGATCATCTTGTTCAGACTTCCTAGCCAAAAGGAGTTGAGTGGGAGAGCATGAGGCACAGAGAGAAGGCTTGGAGCGTAGCAGAGAGAAAGCCTGGACATAGAAAATCTCCTTCCATTTCTCCAATCGCTCACAGTAGTTGTAAAGGTCCCGAATAATATTGGGATCGAGGGTGCCATTACGTGGCCATTTGGACTGATTATCTAAATGGTATTTAGGCCAAATTTTATTGTAAAAGCGAGTAAGTTTAGAACCCTTTAGTTTAGGTGTCAGGTGTAGAGACTTGAGGTTTTCTAGGAGGCATCCCAAGGGGGAATGGGAGGGTACGGATGACACGGTTCCCATGGATGAGAAGGAAAAGGTCACTGCAGCCTGTAGTCAAGGGCGTCCCCAGGACTCAGGGAGGACCACCGAAAGAGGACCAAGCCGTTCAGAGGGTCGTCACCCAACTCAACGGGGGTCAGGCTTAGCCCGGCTAAGCCAGAAGAGACTCGGTGCCTGGTACCAGGGCTTTTCTAGAGGCCAGAAGGCGTAGACGGAAACCGAGCTCTAAAAGGGTCTCATCCAAAGGAAAGGGTCAGGATTGGAATCGTAGAAGCCGCAAGGGCCTAGAGGAGCTGTGCAACGACAGCCAGCTCCAAGGGAGGAGGTCAGGAAGGGACGCAATGACCCGGTGGGGCCTAAGGAAACTGCAGGATTGCAATTTCAAGGGTGGTAGGATGGGGTAAGGTGAGGAGGGTCAGCTGTAGCCTTAAGGGCCTTGGCTGGGGTACCCCGTCTCTACAAGTATCCCTGACTTAGGGAGCTGAAACACCAAATGAAGGGAGACTTACCCAATCGTTGATGGTGGATGTAGTGTCAAGCGATTGGTGAGCTGGAAGGCGAGTCTGCTGCAGGCCAACTGGAGATGAGAGATAGGGTCCCAGTGCGGCTCAGACCACGAAGGGGAGCACAGGCACCAGGAGAGCCTATCCAAGTCACGGGTAGACTGAAGATGAGGGATAGGATCCCAGTGCGGCTCAGACCATGAAAGGGAGCACAGGCACCAGGAGAGCCTATCCCGGGTTTCGGCACCAAATGTAAGCGTTTCGTCGGGATGGGTCAGGACAGGATGGAACAGGAGTGAGTGGGTCAGGTATTCTGGCACTCGGGAGTCACAGAATACCCAGTGTTACACAGCTCAGGTGGAAAGGTATCCTGGAGCTCGGGAGCCAAGGATACTGAGTGTTACACAGCTCAGGTAGAAAGGTATCCTGGAGCTCGGGAGCCAAGGACCACCACGGGTTGCAGTAAGCTTGGCAGCTTACAGCCTTGCCTCAGAGAAAGGCTTCTCCGGTGTGTCAGCTCCGCTCCGGCAGGACAGGGTCTTCCAGCTGGGGATGTTCGCCTAGTGTAGCAGTTTTGCTCCGCAGGAGGTTTCTCCGGCGAAGTTGCTACAGTTCAGCTCTGCTCCTGGAGAGCCGAGAGCGGAGAGCAGGGAGCCGGGTGGGAGCAGAGTGTAACAACTCCGCTCTGCCAAGGAAGGTTTCCCGGGCAAGTGTTACAGCGCTGCTCGCTCTGCTCTGCTCTGCCCAGGGTCGCCTCTGCTCGCTCTGCTCTGCTCTGCCCAGGGTCGCCTTTGCTCTGTCGCAGCCGCAAAAAGAAGATCTTCACCCAAAGCTCATCCAAAGGTGTTTATTGGAAGACAGCTGGACCAGCCAAGCTAAACATACACAGGGTTTATATAGGGGTTCCTGGGGTTGGGGAAGTTTTTCCAGGGTAGGGATTGGTCCGATTTCAGTGCTGAGCTCAGATTGGCTAGAGCTCTGCTCCGGGATTGGTTACTTTTTTTACACAGGATTAGGGTCAGATTTGGCTCTGGTTTCAGGGCCAAAGTGTGCTTCTTTCTCTGGTCCTTTTTAGCCTTTTGGCTCCAATTTTAGGGCCAGGGTACATTTCTTTCACTGACTCTGATTCCAGGGACAAAGTGTGTTCCTTTGGCACTGGTTTTAGGGTCAGGGTACATTTCTTTGGTTCTGGTTGCAGGGCCAAAGTGTGTTTCTTTGGCTCTGCTCAGGGTGTGTTTCTTTGACTGGTCCCTTTTCCCTACACCCCTCCTTGTTCACTGAGCATGAACTACAAGGAAACTGCTGTCCCCCACGGCGCAGGGGGCTTCTCGCCTGTCTCACTGGGCAGGCTCTCCCTCTCAACCCAGCACAGCTCAGCCACCAGTGCCCACCGTGTCGTCTTGACTTTAGAAAGTTAAAACACAAAGAATTTTGTCTACTCCAAACAGATTTGTTAGATTTTTAATAAGAACATGGAAATCCCAATCAGCCCTTCAATAAAATTAAAGTACAGAAAGTGAAATTAAAAGTATTCTACAGTAAATGACTTTTATTTAAAAAAAAAGTAACTGTGAACATATAAACAGGCTGCAGGGCAGTCCACTTGGGAAGAGGTACATTCCCAATGTACCCATGGGCCAGTGAATCCCACCATCCCCAAGTAAATTCTGAATAAAAATGTACCTATGGGCCAGTGAATTCCACCACCCCCAAGTAAATTCTGAATAAAAATGCCACCGAGTAGGAAGTTTTGCTGGAAATATCTCCAGACAAAACTCCAAAAAACAAAACCTCTTATATTGGAACCCAAACTCTCCACCCCATTTGGAGACGCAGGCGGAGTCCCAAGGGAACGCTGGTAGTCGGCAAACAGCTCCTGGAGTCAGCAGTGTGCACGCAGGGATAGCTCCACAGCTCAGACATGACACAGTTCTTTCTTGGACAACTGCTCCCTCAAGATAAGACTGAGAGGGAGTGGGAGAGACTAAAAGAATTCTAATAAAATGCCAATTCTTTTAAATTACGCTTTGGCTGATTTTGTGCTATAAGGGACAGCTGATTTCTAAAACTCATATCTTTTCAGAGTTTTACTGAAAGGAAGACTAAAGCAACGTGCCTTTCCTCATAGTCCAGGAAAACAACTGTAATTTCAAAAGTTCTAAAAATATCTACTTTCATGAAATAGTAACTATTTCACTACAAACCTATTTTTCACTAAATACACACGTTTCCTAATCCTGGAGCCCCCTGGGAAAAGCTGTGGGCTCTTCCTGGGTCCTGAAGACTCCAGTGTTCAGAGAGTATGGGGAATGGCTGCACCCCCACCTCCTGGGATGGGCCAGGTCAGAAGTCACGTGTGCAAACACGGCCAGGCTTCCCCAGGCACATGAAGTCACCTTTTTTTTTTTTTTTTTTTACCAGTTATGACTCCTCCATCTCCAAACACAATCCCGCTTCTAGGCACAAGAGGAAGAGAGAAGGACGCTGTGCCCACACTCCTGGTTTCCATGGTCTCAAACCAGGACAATGTGCAGGAAAGCCCAGGAAATCGAGCAACCTGGATTTCCAGAAGGCCACTGGATGGGAATGTGGCACCCTCAGCGTCAAGTCTGAAACCATGTGTGAACTGTGCGACTTTCTTGTGTCGTGTTGAGGCAGCATAGGAGTGGCTGGAGAGTTTGTAATACTGACCACTGGCTTGGGGCAGGACCCCGGCTCCTGCAGAGAGAGAGCCCTGCCGTTCCCTGGTGAGTGGTGTGAGAGGCCTCCTCACAGGAGAGCTGCAAGTTCCCCGTGCCTTAAGACCTCGCCAGTTTGGATTCATGGGCCTTGAGAGTGCCGACAGCATCTTTCACTGCGTGGTATATAATGTTTTTCACCTAGGGAAAAATTAGCAGTCAGTGCACAGCAGCTCACAAATGTACATCTAGGTCTTACTTACTGAAAAGCTAACGAGGACACCCAGCAGTAGCTGTGCGCTTCCCAGATCAGGCAGGACACAAGGTCCACACACAAGAAAAGAATGTGTACAGCCATCATCACTTACATTCCTCACTAGTGCTGGGCACTGTCACTGCACTTTTTATTATGTGGACTCCTGGTTGATCATCAGGCTCAGCCGCAAGTGGATTTACTCATCGAGCCATCTTGCAAGTTCCCTTCCCAGCCTTTTGAGACAGTGTCTTACTACTTAGCCAAGGCTGGCTCTAACTATATGATCTTCTTGATTTAGATCCACAAGAAGTGAGATTACAAGAATGTGCCACCAGGTCTAGAGCTTATGTGTATACTCTAATTTGTCTAAAAGAGACATATTTTACATGTGATGTTGGAAGATTTAGTTAATGTTATTAAAATAAACTGATAGGTTAAAGACTAAAACGACTGACAAGATTCTTTTCTTTTCTTTTTTTTGGTTTTTCGAGACAGGGTTTCTCTGTATTGTTTTGGAGGCTATCGGTCCAGCCCAGCCTCGAACTCACAGAGATCCACCTGCCTCTGCCTCCCGAGTGCTGGGATTAAAGGCGTGTGCCACCACCGCCCGGCTGACAAGATTCCACCACCGCCCGGCTGACAAGATTATTTTCTAGGGTGGAAACGTTAGGTAGGACAAAATGGAAGGATAAACTGGTACTCTAACAATGGTGCTGTTGTGTATGTACATACGTGTATTGCATGCATACATATGACATCTTCCTTCACAAAAACAGGAGGCTTTGTGATGGGTACACAAGACGCCTTTACAAAAATGCACTATGGACTGGGCAGGGCAGGAGAAAGGAGAGGCAGGGCTGGCCGGCAGAGAGGAGGAGGAGGAGGGGAAAAGGAGAAGAGAACAAGAGGAGGACGGGAGGGGCCAGGCACCCAGCCGCACGGCCAGCCACCGAATAAGAGTGGAAGGAAGACACAGAAGTTAAGAAAAGAAAAGGCAAAAGGTAGATGGGATAAATTAAAGGAAAGCTGGCTAGAAATGAGTCAAGCTAGGGCCAGGCATTCATAAGAAAGAATAAGTCTCCATGTGTGATTTACTGGGGAGCTGGGTGGTGGCTCCCCAAAGAGTCAAAAAACAAACAACGGAAAGCTGTTAAAGAAACAAACTTCTGCCTTCACAAAGTCTAATTATGCTTACATTTTGCAAGCTAGCAATGAACAAGTCAAAGCATACACTATGTCAGACCGTGAAAACCATACAGAAAGACAAAATAGTCGATGGGGTCTGGAAGTAACAGCAGAGTTCATGCTGCTATCATATTGTTTGTAGACTTACATTTCGTATGTGCGCACACTGAGTGCCGTAGGGCACGTGTGCAGGAAGACAACTTGTGGGAGTTCTCTCCGTCACACATGGGCCCTGGAATCAGACCCAGGTTGTCAGGCTTGGCAACAAGTGCCTTTACTTACTGAGCCTTCTTGTTGATTCCAAAGCTGTTATTTCATTTATTTATTATTTTAAAAGATCTATTGATATGTATTTTATTGCATTGTGTGCCTGCGTGTGTGCATGGATACCATACATGGGCCAGTGCTTGCTCTGGAACTGGAGTTAGAGGCAGTTGTGTGCCCTGGGAACCAAACCCAGGATCTCTGCAACAGCAGCATGTGTTTTTTTTTTGTTTTGTTTTTTAGAGACAGGGTTTCTGTGAAACAGTCTTGGCTGTCCCAGAGCTCTATCTGTAGAGCACCATCGTAAGTGGCTAGCACGAGTCCCTAACCCTGAAACATCTCTGCGTCCCAGATGCTATAAAAGGCTGTAAGGGTAATGAAGAGTGGGTTCAGTGGTTAAGGGCACAGTCTAGAACGCCTTTGGCACCAGAGTTACAGTCCAGAACTCTGGCTCCAGAGGATCCAATGTCTTCTTTTTTTTTTTTTTTCTTTCTTTCTCTTCTCTTAAGAGAAATATATTTATTTATTTAATGTGCTCTATCTGCATGTACAACTTTATGCCAGAAGATGGCATCAGATTCCACTATAGACAGTTGTGAGCCACCATGTGGTTGCTGGGAATTTAACTCAGGACCTCTGGAAGAGCAGGCCATGTTCTTAACCTCCAAGCCATCTCTCCAGCCCCCTCCTTCCCTGCCTCCACAATGCCCTCTTCTGGCCTCTACTGGCACTGCACACACATGCACAAACTCATGAACAGATATGTAATTTTTTTGTTTTTTTGAGAAAGGGTTTTTCCTGGAACTCCCGCTGTAGACCAGACTGGTCTCGAACTCACAGAGATCCGCCTGCCTCTGCTGGGATTAAAGGTGTGAAAAGGTGCACCACCACTGCCCAGCCCAGATACACAATTTTTTAAAAAGTCATTAAGAGTAAAAAGACTCGAAAAACAAAAAAAGAGTAAAAAGACACCAGGCAGTCAGGAGGCAGAGGCAGACAGATCTCTGTGAGTTCAAGGCCAGCTTGGTCTACAGAGCGAGTTCCAGGACAGCCTCCAGAGCTACACAGGGAAACCCTGTCTCAAAAAACCAAGAGTAAAAAGAGAATCCACCAGTTGAGATCTGGAAGAGGCAGGGTATGACATATGCACATCTATATTGCTTCTAAAAAAATGTGATTATACATGGTGTAAGAACGTCCATCTGCAGAGTACGGAGCATGTTACTGAGCCATGTTCAAGTTCCCTGGCCACCAGAAGGCTGCTTGTCCACGTGCAATGCGGATGACTGTGACAGGGCTGCTGAGAGGCTGTAGGGTCAAACACACCGACTGTGGTCCTGGATAAGTGCAGGTCTGACACCTGTGCTGCCTTCCACTGTGATGGAAGATGAGTCCCACTTTTTGACTAAGCTGGGCTGGTTGGCACAGGCTTGTAATTCAAGCTACTCTTGAACTCGAGGTAGGCGGATCACAAGCTCTAAGCCAGGCTAAGACAACTGAGTAAGAACCTGATGTAAATTCTGTCTGACGTTGCTCAGTAGTGAAGACTTGCCTACCAAGTGCACAGCCGGCCTGTGCACACCAGTCCCCAGCCCTGTAAAGGAATAGGAACTCTCCCTCCCTTCCATAGTATTCTCCCCGGACCAGGGATTTTAATCTACTCACTTATCAACACTAAAAGAACTCCCAAGGACACGGAAATAGGGAATCACAACATTGGAAATGGGTGGATTAAAAGACCTCTCCACACACACAACACAGGCTGGCTTGGAACCTGTGGTAACTGCACTGCTTTAGATGAGTTACATACGTAAATTAAGATGAGTGGGTAGTAAATTCCTGTACAGCATTTGGAAACAGAAGGTTCGGGAGTTCAAGCCCAGCTTGGGCTACTTGAGACAGTGTTTCAAAAACAAAGCAAAACAAAAACAAACCAATAAGTAAAATTCAAAAACTCAACTGAAATGGTATCTGTTCCCAAAAGTAAGCTTTTATATTGCCCAGACATAGTTTCCCAGAGTCACTTCTCTGTCAGGAAACACCCAATGAGGAGACTGTGTCGTCGGTGTGTGAGAGCATTCGACAGTGTGAGTGAAGCAGACACTATTTACCTGGAGTTTATCCTCGTGATTCGTGTGAGTGTTGGAGAGATGCCTGAATTCTTGAGTCAGGCGGAAACAGTGCTTCACGTGCTCTGGGGATACAAAGTCCTCTGCGACTTTTATGCAACTATACAGATTGTGAACCTGGGAGGAGACAAGGATAGCAGGAAAATGTAGACATTACAGATTCAGTGACTCATAAGAAAATGCCACTGGGTTTGAGGTTAGCCTGATCTTCACAGTGAGAGCCAGGCTGTCTCAAAACCAACCACCCAAGTTCTGCATAGCCCCCATCCAACCAACTTTTAAATTAAAAAAATGTTAGTATTTTCACAGAAAATAGTTTGAAAAATATCTAACACAATGCTAATATATTAGTAAGATTCCCTTGGGGAAGAAAACTAGATTGGAAGTCAGGATGAGGAATTTGGGATAGTGCAGGTCTATAACTGTCACTATTTCTGTAAAGCCTGCATTGCTTAAATAATTCTAGGAGCTGGCCTTAATGGCGCCCACCTTTAATTTCAGCACTCAGGAGGCAGAGGCAGGCAGATCTCTGAGTTTACAGAGTGAGTGCCAGGACAGCCAGGGCTACATACTGAGACACTATCTTGAAAACAAAACAAAAAATTTAGGGCTAGCAGTGGTGGTATACACCCTTAATCCTAGTGCAGGAAACAGAGACAAATCTCTGTGAGTTTGAAGCCTACCTGGTTTGAAAAAAACAAAATAAAAACCTAACCAAACAAAACAAAAACCAGAAAACAAGCTACCTAAAACAAACAAAAACAAGTATTTAAAGTTACAAGAACAAAATTAAAAACTAACAAGTCACGATATCAGAGCAACCATTTGACTAATCCTGCCGTTTGGAGCTGAGCCAGTGGAAACCCCACCTGGTGCGGGGCCCCAGCAGGGATGAAGACAGCGTCGCCCAGGAACTGCACAATGGCCCAGCCTTGCACGCCATACTCCTCAAAGAGTCTCTTTCGGAGGATCTGGTCCAGATACCAACTTTGGTCATGAATTGGGTCATGATCAGGAGGATTCTCTTGGCCTTGCTCTTCTCCAACCTGAAGTTATAATCAAAGTCCAAAAACAGGAAGAGTTAAATATAGTATCTTACCCCCAGTTTAAACAGTTTCATTTATCCACAACCAATCCTGCTCTAAAAACACTACCTGAAAGTCTTTAAAGTCTGTAAGTTTAAAACTGTGTTTGCTATGGCGTTGACATGGTGACATGACCGCCTCTCCTACAGTCCAGCACCACCTCATGCCAGACAAGCTTTACCTTCATCTGTCTAGGCTCTGGCTTTCTAGTTCAGATGGCTACAAAGTTTCAGATAGCACTGTTCAAGTTCCCTTTATGTAACAAGGGCTCCCAAAGGACAGAAGCATTGACTCCGGCAAATCCGAAGCTCCATGAGCCGGCTGCGTGGCTGCGTTGGTAGGGTTTGCTGAAGGAGGCAGAGGCAGGGGAATCATGATCTCAGCAGAGTGTCTTTAATCCCAGCACTCGGGAAGGGGAAAAAAGATGTAAGGAGCCTCCTAGAAGTCACAGAGTGTATTACCCCTTAAGCACACTAAGAGCGTTAATCCCTTCTTTGTTCTGTTGAGCATGTTCTAGTGTGAGCTCAGCCCCCTTTCTTGGCCAACGGGTTCTTTCTTTTTCTTTCCCACAGTGCTGACGATGGAGCGCAACCTAGGTAAGCATCCTAACACCAAACTACAAACCCAGCCTTTGTTTTATATTTATTCTTGTATTAGTCTTTTCAGACAGCCCTGACTGCCCTGGAATTCACAGAAATCTGATGGAATGAAAGGTATGCACCACCAGGTCTCGTCAAGTTTTCTTTATGTATTATATGTGCATGAGAGCTGTATTTGCGCATAC